GTGACATCTTACGCTGCAGTCACTTACCTGAGAGTTGTTGACGAAGAAGATAATGTCCACATCACATTGCTTGCATCTCGTACAAGAGTAGCTCCTTTAAAACAACTCACTATACCAAAACTTGAGCTGTGTGCAGCGGCATTACTTTCTGAGCTTATAGAGGAAATATCTGGTTTGCTTAAGATTCCCATTGAACAGATTTTTGCTTACACTGATTCGATGGTGGTTTTGTCATGGCTTCAGTCGCAACCACATCGTTGGCGTACATTTGTTGGCAATAGAGTGGCTGATATATTAAGAGTTTTAGATAATAGTAGATGGAGTCACATCAAGTCAGAGGAAAATCCTGCAGACATTGCTACAAGAGGTGTTAAGGCTAGTGATTTAAAGGATAAAAGGTTGTGGTGGAATGGGCCAGAGTGGTTAAATCACAGATATATAGAACGATCAAAGGTTGAAATTCCTGGAACTGATTTAGAAAAGAAAAATTTTAACATATATTTACTTGAAGAAGAAACACCGATATGGGAAAGATTTTCTAGTTTATCTAAAATGAAAAGAGTATTGGCATATTGCAGAAGATTTTTAAATGCAAAGGATAAAAGAAACATTGAGAAAAGGTTGACGATAGATGAAATGGAAATTATTTTAAAGAATTGTATAAAATATTATCAAAGGAAAGCATACGAAAAGGATATAGAGGACATTAATAAAGAAGGCAAGGTAAAGAAAAGAAGTTCCCTTGTAACACTTTCTCCTTTCTTGGATAAGAACGAGATGATAAGAGTTGGGGGACGATTGCAAAATGCAAACATTACTGAGTCATCAAGACATCCAATTATAATACCGCCAAAGGTTCATGTTGCCAAACTATTAGTCAAGGAGGCGCACATTAAGACTCTCCATGGTGGTATTCAGTTGATGATGGCATATATTCGAAGTAAATACTGGATTATCAACTTAAAAAATGAAGTTAAAAAATGTATAAGAACGTGTAAGGTTTGTATAGTCGACAAAGCAAAAATCTCAACGCAGAAAATGGGACAACTTCCTTTCGTAAGAGTTAATGAGCATCGAGCCTTTTTAAACACGGGCGTTGACTATGCTGGTCCTATATACATTAGGACATCCAAGGGGCGTGGTCACCATGCAACAAAGGCATATATCTGTTTGTTTGTTTGCATGGCGACTCGCGCTATTCATTTAGAAGCTGTAACGGATCTCACAGCACAAGCTTTCATTGCATCATTTCGCAGATTTGTTGCTAGGAGAGGACCTTGTCTACATTTATGGAGTGACAATGGGACTAACTTTATCGGTGCCGCTAAAGAGCTTAAAATACTTTTCGAAAAGGGCAAAGCCAACATCACAGAGGAAATTGCAGAATTATTGGCCAATGATGGGACGACGTGGCACTTTATCCCTCCGAGAATGCCGAATTATGGCGGTTTATGGGAGGCAGGCATACAATCAGTTAAGAGACATTTAGTACGAGTGAACAAATCTACAAAATTGACTTATGAAGAGATGGCTACACTATTGGCGCAGATAGAAGCATGCTTAAATTCGCGTCCATTGTGTCAACTTGATGATACTGTCGAAACGCTAAATCCACTTACACCAGGGCACTTTCTGATAGGAGAACCCTTAATCACTGTGCCTGATGTAAATTATGAATTGAGGAACATTAATCTACTCAGCAGATGGCAGATGATACAAAGGATGACACAAGATTTTTGGCGTCGATGGAGGTTAGAATACTTGAACACTATGCAGCAACGCTATAAATGGCAAACTGAGATACCGTCACCGAATATCGGAGACATTGTTATTATCAAAGAAGACGATTTGCCACCAGCTAAATGGTTATTAGGACGTGTAAAAGATGTGCACCCAGGATCAGACAGTTTAGTTCGCGTTGTATCCGTCCAGTGTAAAGGCAATAATATTTTGAAGAGACCTCTATCCAAACTTATAATTCTTCCTAAAGAAATAAAAGACCAAACTTAACTAAAGATGAATTCTAACTTAATTTAATAATTTGAAATCTAAAATATCTAAAGGCATTATTATGATGAATTTAGTTCACGCGAATGTCAATCACTACAATAAATTTATATTTTATTAATGTTCTATTTAAAAAAAAAAAAAAATGTATTTTCGCTACTACAGTTCAATAATGTAATTTATTTAGCTAATGTAGTTTGTAATGTTCTTTTTACATGTATAAGATTTCGAAATTTAGAGATTCAGTTATGCAATGTTGTTTGTAATTCATTGGAAACATCTATATACAGTCCACTAGTTAAAATGTTGATTCATTGAATAAAATGTTGATGAAAATGTAAATCGTTGTATACGCTTTGGTGGGCGGAATGTTCGATACTTTATAAAGGTTGTGAATGAATGAATATGGTATATGCTATTTGTTTAGTCTCATTAAAGATATTGTCAAGACAACACGTATTATCAATATTCACCCGCTGCATCGTACAATATTGAACCGTAATGCACAAAACACTTTCTTAATACTTTCTTAGATTTACGCGAATGTTTGACATTATTAAATAAAACTATCTTTTCGGATTATTTCGCGAATTTATTTTGATTTTTGGTTCCCGACGTTTCCACAATGTTTTAATCACCAAACAATAAGTATATGGTGACACTAGAAAGTGCTGTTTTGTGATAGAATATTTTTTCTTACAACGACGCATTATAAATGACTGATGACACTTTTAAAAACAAAGAAGAATATGTTCAAATATTTTCAATATTTTCTCAATTTTTTACTATCTGCAAGGAACAACAATGTAACTCAGTATTATAGGAGTGGTAGCCAATATATAATACGCATATTTGAAAGTGAAGCGGGTTCTAATATGTTTCTCGCACCTTTTTATGTATGTGCGAATCGTTTTCAACATCATTTCCCCTTAAACCGTGAAGGAGAACAGCGTGAAGAAACCTACATGTTCGAGAAGATCTAACAAGTTTCCCAAAGACATGTTTAGTCTGCCAACTTCCACTTGCATAGTAAACTATGCCCTGATACCCCTTAAATTGAAGGGAGACTCGAGCGCAGACGACGTTAAAAGGATTGAATGATTATTATAGCAATTCTCAACTTTAAATATATGCGATATTAATTTTATCTATAAAAAATCTGAATACCAAGATTTTTTAGAAGGTGTTAATATGCAGTCAGAGAAAACAAATATAACCTTGAATTCAACACTGGTGTGTATTTAAAACTCGAACCATCTATAAACCGTGATGTGTTCAAGGTCGTCTGCGCTCACGCATTCTGAATAGCTGTCTACGAGCGTTTAATCCAGCTATACTCAACCTGCGGCCCGCGGGTCGCATGCTGTAGTAACAAAAATCGCATTATAACATATCTTTGTTAAAAAATTAACTACATCGTTAACTTGGAATTACGTTTTCATTATGACCTAAATAATTTTTGCTTGCGGCCCTCGATACCATGACTGAAATGTGTTTGTGGCCCCTATAAAAAAAGGTTGAGTATGGCTGGTTTAATCCAACGCTGCCAGTCCGCGTCTACCGCTCTTTTTCATAATAGGTATGTGACATTTTTAAAAATATCTTTCATCTATACCTATAATAAAATCTGAGTCAAATCTTTTTTGGAAAATCTTATTGAAATAGACATTATTATCGATACAGTGGCCGAATGTACAGTTTTTAGAATTTTTGTCTGTCTGTCTGGGAACGCGTTACGAGAAAACCACTGGACAGATTTTGATGAAATTTGGTATGATGATAGCTGGTTATGCGGGTCAACATGTAGGATACTTTTTACTGCTGGAAAATATCTCATCTCTGAGAAATCTATACTAAACGCTGAAATGTAACTAGAGACGAACCCTAACGGAGGAGGGTGAGCCGATAGTTTTGACACAAGGAATCTCGTGTCGCGTGCCACTTCACACCTTTGCCGCCGTAAGCGTGACTATGAAATCAGCAGAATGACTCATCTATCATGCAAGTCATTGTTTTTAAGCTATAAACAATGTGTTCGCAGAAGTTCTAGGATGTTGTCGGAACTGTTTTTTTTTATTGAGTGACCGCTACTAGAGCTGAATGTCGAATTTAAACGGACTAGTAAATTACCTGTAAATTATTTTATACTAGCATTGCCCGCAGCTCAGCCCGCGTTCAGATGACCAAAAAACAAATTCTTAGGTTTTACATATTAGTATACTCTTACATTGCAGTTTTTGTATTTTTTCTCTTAAATGACATATTTTGATTTCAAAGTAAAAAGTATCCTATATGTTGCCCCGGATAACCAGCTATCATAATACCAAATTTTATCAAAATTCGTCCAGTGGTTTTCTCGTAATGCGGTAACAAACAGACAGACAAAAATTCTAATAACTATAGATTCGGCCTCCGTATCGATTATAATGACTATTTCAATGAGATTTTCCAAAAAATATTTTTAATGTACAGATTCGACTCAGTTAGAATTTTATTATAATGTATAGATGAATAAACTTGTGTTGGAAAAATCAGTTTTAAAGATGATTTAATTAAATTAAGGAATTAAAGAAAAAAACCACTTTAGTTGCTATAAAATAAAAATAATAATTTATTTGCTACTTGCTACTCATTTTTTTAGAAAAAACCGGAAATAAAACACATTTTTAATGTTATAGGAATATTGCATTGAGTGATAACGTAATTTAAAAGTACAAATTCCAGAAATTAGTAAAATTGTCATTTTTATAACATAAATTTTCATTAAAAAATCATAAAAAATTTTAAAGCATTTTTCCTTAGGGGATATATGTATATTGTAAGGTATTTAATTATTTATACTAAATACGCTGCAATAATTTCTAACCTTAATTTAATTCAAGTACAACTAAAAAATAAAAATAAAAATCAATTTTTTCGTTATTTATTTATTATAATCATGTAATATAAAAATACATCATATAATATATTCTGTATAGGTATCTATACATTTACCATTCCGTGACTGGCGCAGTTTCGCAATAAGCTCTAAGTTTTGGAATGGCCAGCAATTTCTCTTGAGGCTTTTTGATGTTTGGATATTGTTCATCAAAATTGGAAATTTTGATAAGTTTTTTGAAAGCTGGGTAACAGCCACCAATTATAAAGTCCGCCCATGTTAGCTGAAAAAATTTTTTTTTTCATAAATTGCCAAATATTATAGAAAGAAGAAAGGTCTTTTGCCCTAAAATATTTTTTTTTATTAATAGCTGCAGTTGGATTGATCGTTTGATTTTGGTAACTAGATTGTTAAAGCAAAAGAAGAACAAAAAAAATATGTATGTGTGTACACGTAATAAGTTATACTACTTTGGCATAACAGAACGAAAATTGCTAAAGATTTCATCCCGTATGTCACAACTCTCTGTTTGTAAAAGGAATGATAAAATAATTAAATAAGCATATTAGGAATATTACAATCATATTATATCATTTAAGGAATGTATATAATATTATATATAATTTGTCAGACAATAAAAATGGTTACTATGGCAACAAACAGTTATCAGCTAACTTCATCATGTCGCAAGTATAACTTCAAAAACATCTTTTAAACCTAATATATACGTATAAATTGTGCAATTTAAAGAAAATATTTTGTAATTCGGTCAAAATATCAAACCTTTCCAAGTGCTACATGTCCGTTGTTCTTGGCAATAATATCATCTAACTTTTTGAGAACAAATGGGTAGTAGTTTTTCTCTAGATCTTCTTGCTTTTTAACTTGAATCTTTTCATCAGTCTCGAAGAATACTGCTGCAGCCTCTAGTAAAAAAATATATCTCAATTTTTTTACATGTTTCGGTATTTCAATCATTCTGATGCATTATAATTATACATTAAAATTAAAAAAAAAACCCCTACCCAAATTAATTATCATTTAACGATTACAATGGCACGCGTGAAGCACTTAATCGAGTAATCATACGCCAAAATGCCTTACATAATTATGGAAAACAGCTGATACTCTTACACTACTGGACCGATATAAACCAAACATAGCTAAGAACTACCGCAAAGAAACTGGCTTTCAAATGAAAAAAGCGTATCGAAATCGGTCCATCCGTTTGAGAGCTACGATGCCACAGACAGACATACACACAGACAGACATCGACGTCAAACTTATAACACCCCTCTTTTTGCGTCAGGGGTTAATAAAATGACAATGACTGAAGTATTTCTTAGTCAAAAGTATTTTGAGTCAGATATAATACCAACATACATTTGTAATATAATAATCAGCCTTCAAACTTCTTTTCTTAGTAAAATTCTGAGTTTCACACCGAATCTAGCAGTTTAAGCGAGTGTACTACCTTCCAAAATTGGTTAAAAGAAAAAGACTTTATTCAATAGTCAGTCTATAGAAAATCTTAAATGTTTTGATGTCAGGAAAATTATGTTTAGAGTTTTTCGATTGTTGTCTTTTACAATCTTCGTAATTTATTGCAGACTAGCGATACGATAATTACGTTAATTACATTTTAAGTTTTAACGTTTAGTACTGATTTCTCAGAGATGAGATATTTTCCCGCAGTAAAAAGTATTCTGCATGTTGACTCGGATAACCAGCTATCATCATACCAAATTTCATCTAAATCTGTCCAGTTATTTTCTTATGATGCGTTCCCAGACAGACAGACAGGCAGACAGACAAAAATTCTAAGAACTATTGATTCGGCCTCTGTATCGATAATATTTGGATTGAATACAAGTTGTTTTTGGGACACAAATAGTAGTAGTAACTTTAAATGTGTGTATTTTTTATTCTAGTAAAAGTATCGTTAAAAACTTTTTAGTATTTCTGGAGAAAAACCGACACAAAAAGATAGGTCAGACACAATATTTAGTTTGGATGTTTGATCCATATACTTACTAATGCGAATGTCATTGAAGAAATCTAAAATCTGGTCGATCTCGAAGTCCTCCTCGATATCTTTCCCTGCGAGACCATATTTTTTTCCGAGATAGCGACCAATGGCCGAACTTTGTGAATACTTCTTGCCATCAATTTCCAAAAAAGGTAGTACACCGAATGGTGTTGCTGTAATATAACGATTTATTAGTCGTATATTTAAAATTATCTAATATAAATTTATTTATACTGATATTATATGTAAATGAGAAATGAGAAAGTTTGTTGCTTTAAGCTTTTTTAACACACAGCGCCACCTAGTTCCATGGTAAGCTACGAGGCTTGTGTTATGGATACCAGATAGTTGATACACTACACATATATAGAACTTTAAATACATACATATTATAAATATAAACACCCATGACTGGAATACAAACATCCGTGCTCATCACACAAATGAATGCCCCCAGCGGAACTCGAACCCGCGACCGCTGGAACAGCAAGTAGGGTCACTACCAACTGAGCTAAACGTGTCGTCGAAGCTTTATTCACAGCAATGGAAAAATGAGATTTCTTCTTATAGATGATATTGATATATTGGAAAAAGTCAAGAGTGTAGTATATTTTAGTGTTATTTTCTATAACACAATATAATTTCTGTTTTTTCTAACATCAAACTGTACTAATCCGCGTTAGCTAAATATTTAAAACATTCAAATTATATTAGCAATTTTCATGCAATTCAACCTAAATGTTAAGAAATTGTAGAGTGTAGAATATTTTATTATAGTATACTGACTTGGTTTCAACGCTGGCCAGTCTTTTCTTTCAATTCTGACGTCTTCAAATTCCTGATCGCCGTAAGTCAAAAGAAGGCGAATCCCTTCAGCTAGTCCCTTCAAGTTGAAATAAGTGATCTTGACTTTCGGCATATTTCTAAAATGTAAAGTTTTTTTTATCAACTATACATCTAAAGTTTAACTTTTTTTACAAGGGACTTATGCCCGATTTCACCAACATCACCTAAGTTTAAGGGATCCCCTAAGCATGGTTAGGGGGCTGTTAGGGGACAGTTTCTGTTTCACCGAAAGTTAGGGGTCACCTAAATATTAAAAGGTCCCCTAAATTTAGGTGCTCGAAATATGGGCTTAAAGACGATCGTAAAACGAAATTTAATTTAGGGGCTAGTTTAGGGGACTTTTAAGCTAGGGATCCCATACGTAGGTGGTAGCTTATGGGTTGTTGGTGAAATCGGGCATTAACTTGGTCAAGTTAAGTCGCTTTGCTTCTCGAATCTCATCTCGTCCTGCTTGACAACAATTGTTATCAAAGAATATAATATGTAATAAGCATATAAGAAAATAGTAACTTAGCGAATCTATACATGAAATATTTAATAAAAACGTAGTCGAGAATATAGAGTTATAAAAAAATATTTTTTTGAATTTTATCCCGGTTTTAATTCGGGGTTTTGTTCCAGACGCTTCGAATGCTTTATAGCAAACATGGCCACGAGACGTGTGACCACTGATCAGATTTCGACAATTAGCAAGAACAGAAAATAGTATTTGTAATTCCTTACAATATTTTCTTAGATTTATATAAGCTAATATTTATGAATTTTAAAAGCTGCAGAGTAACTAAAGCTAGGGTCTCTTTCGCGTGTATAGTTGTTTCCATGCACCATAGGATTATTAGTGTGTTGCAAAAGGGGCATATTAATATATACAAATTTTTGAGTGCTTGTTTGCAGAGCTACAAAATGACAAAAGCTAGGCTGGCTTGTCGTAAGCGAATCAGCGACGTCCCAGTTCCGGGAGCGGTTCCAGTGAGTCCGGAGGTAGGTTTTAGTAAATACTGGCTTTTCTAGCCGGTGAATCCCAGATTATAACCTTGTAAACGTAAATGCATTTATAAACGTTACAAAAAAGGTTATCATCAAGTTTTAAATCGCGTTTAAAATGGTGCCAAGACCACGCGGAACAAATTAAAATGGATATATTAGCATCACATCATACAAAAAAAGATTTTCGTTCTTTTTGGAAGCAAACTAACAGATTGCAACCGAAGCCGGGTATCCCTGTGAGCATTAGCGGTCTAACTGATTCTGAGCAGATTGCTAATCTATTCATGGATCACTTTTCTGTAAAGTCACCACTTGGTCGGTCGAATTGTGTGCAGGATGCTGGGACCGGAGTGAACAGGTTGACAAAAATAACAACTAAAAGTATTGCTGAAACTATAATGTCAATGACCAGAGGTAAGTCACCTGGTCACGATGGTCTTAGCATTGAACATTTACAGTCGGCTGGTCCTCACTTACCCCGTGTTTTGTGTATGTTATTTAACATGTGCCTAAATCATAGTTATATGCCGGATGATATGATGCGTACGGTGGTGGTTCCTATAGTCAAAAATAAAACGGGCGACAACGCTGATAAGAATAACTATAGGCCCATTTCGTTGGCAACTGTCATTTCGAAAGTATTTGACAGCATTCTTAATACACAGCTGAATGTGCACGTCCAACAACATGACAATCAGTTTGGTTTTAAACCTGGTCTATCAACAGAAACCGCAGTGCTGTGTCTTAAGAGTGCTGTCACCTACTATGTAAAGAGAGAAACGCCAATCGTTGCTTGTTTCCTTGATCTCTCTAAGGCTTTCGACCTGGTCTCATACAATATTTTATGGAAGAAACTTCAGAAAAGCGGTTTACCTATAGAGCTCATCAACATTCTTAAATATTGGTATGGTAACCAGGTCAACAATGTACGATGGGAGGGAGCGTTGTCTCGGCCGTATGGCCTCGAGTGTGGCGTGAGACAAGGGGGTTTGACTTCGCCAACCCTTTTTAACATTTATCTGAATTAGTTAATAGCTGAGCTCAGCAGTACCAGAGTTGGCTGTTACATAGATGGTGTATGTGTAAATAACATTAGCTACGCTGACGATATGGTGCTGCTGAGTGCGTCCGTCTGTGGCATAAGAAAATTATTGTCTATATGTGAGTCGTATGCTAAGTCACATGGCTTAATTTATAATGTAAAAAAGAGCCAAATAATGGTGTTTAATGTCCGAGGCAAGTGTACTAAAGATTTACCACCGGTATTACTAAACAATTGTATACTGGATAGGGTGGATAGTTTTAATATCTCGGACACTATCTGACCTCTGATTTAAAAGATGACACTGATATTGAACGGGAGCGGAGAGCATTGTCGGTGAGAGCGAATATGCTTGCTCGTAGGTTTGCACGTAGTTCACCCAACGTTAAAATAACATTATTCAGAGCATATTGTACATCTTTTTACACGTGCAGCCTATGGGCAGGATATACTCAAAAATCTTATAGTGCTCTCCGCGTTCAATACAATAACGCGTTCAGGGTGCTATTGGGGCTACCTCGATACTGCAGCGCCTCAGGGATGTTCGCTGAAGCGCGTGTTGATTGTTTTTAAGCCCTCATGAGAAAAAGGTGTGGGTCTCTGGTGCGTAGGGTACGGGGTAGTGCCAATAGAATTCTGAGCATGATAGCAAATAGATTGGATTGCATATACATGAATCGCTGCTGTGCCGTTGCAAACGGAATGGTGCAGCGGTGATTTGTGTATACTGTATGTAACATTAACTTAAAAAAAAAATGTAATAATATAACTAACCTAGTCTCTAAGAATTATTGTTTACTAACCATATGAGTCACTGGTCACTTGAATAAAGATTATTATTATTATTATTATAGACCATAGGGTAATTAGTATGTATGTTGCAAAGAATATTATTACACATAGTGAAAAAATGATGTCACTACTGTACAATAATTATAGCGACTTACATTGAATCTTTAAAATATGTTGGGACATAACACAGCACCATCTAGTTCCACGGTAAGCTACGAGGCTTGTGTTATGGATACCAGATAGTTGATACACTACACATATATAACTTTAAATACAAACATATTTAAATATAAACACCCATGACTGGAGTACAATCATTCGTGCTCATAGCACAAATGAATGATACCAACGGGACCGCGACCGCTGGCACAGTAAGTAGGGTCACTACAAACTGAGTCAAACGTGTCGTCTATTATAAATCTAAATAAGTATAGGAAAAACTAATGAAGATCACGGTCTGTAATTAGGGTCTGAGCGAAACGAGTTTATAAAAGGCCTAATTTATTCACTAGAGAAATATATCTTGGAAACCGGTCGATAGATTATAATAATAACTAAAGATTTATAAAGTTGAAACGATAACATACATTATTGGATAGATCAAAATTAATAAAAAGGTTTTACTAAGGCATTGAAACAACCTACTGTTATTTGCTGGTATTAAGGTTTTGTATTGTCTTCCTGATTGTACAAAGTTTCAAATCGCTACGATAATAAATTATTAGAAATATAGTTTCATGTTTATTTGCAAGACTTGATGGATTATACAAGTCAAGCTAATAAAAGCGTCCGTCACGTGTCATAGTACTAGCAGAACCCGCGGCTTCGCTCGCGCTAAAACTACAAAAAAAAAACTCTTTGGCTTTATGCTATTAGTAATCTATATATATAATAAAATTGTAACTGAGCCGAATCTGTACATTAGATATTTTTTGGAAAATCTTAATGAAATAGATATTATTATCGATACAGAGGCCGAATCTATAGTTTTTAGAATTTTTGTCTGTCTGTCTGTTACCGCATCACGGAAAAACCACTGGACGGATTTTGATGAAATTTGGTATGATGATAGCTGATTATCCGGGTCAACATATAGGATAATTTTTAACGCGGGAAAATATCTCATTTCTGAGAAAAAAATGTAAAAACTGCAATGTAAGAGTATACTAATATGTAAAATCTAAAAATCTAAGAATTTGGTTTTTGGTCATCTGAACGCGGGCGGAGTCGCGGGCAATGCTAGGAATGTATATAAGTCTGCCCAACTTGTTGACATTTATGATCACTGCTCCGCTACCTTGGGTAGTTGCATGATGATATACAGCCTTATAGCCTTCCGTAATAAACGGGCTTTAAATAAAACTGTTTTAGTATGTTTTTGCGGTTTTATTTTACTTTTCCCTTGATTTCTCGAGTGCTTTACAGCAAGCGTGATCACGGGAGAGACAGAAATATAGGGAAAAACAGTTTTATTTATAATGATAATGCGAAAAAACTGCGAAATGCTAACTTTTTAACGGAATTAAGAGGATTGTGAAGTGCCGATACGCGGCGAGAGTAGGTATTTTAAAAAATGCTATCTGTTTCATACCGCTTTGCATCCCCCCGGCAGTGAACAACACAAATACAACATACGCAAATTCTCACGCACACTATGATAGCAGCAGCCGGTGACGCGCGGGCGCTCGCGGGGGGCGGCGCGACTCGGCGCAAGAGCAATTTCAAAGTTTATCTAATATCTACGGTTTGCGTACAATATACATTCCCTACAAAGTACATCGCACCTTTATTTATAAACTGAAATAACTCTAAATTACAATTTTGTGGCGAATATCATTTAAAATTTGACTTGTTTAGATTGATGACTTCAAAAAATCATAAAAAAATAAATATGTGGTTTAGATCAATTACAAAAATCTCGTTCCAAAAGTTGAAAGTTTTAGATTTTTTTGTTGTTTATGTACCCATCGGAATCCTTTTATTTTTAAAATAATTTTTTTATTGAAAACCTGAAGTTTTATGATTTTATAATGTTAGCAGGTATATAAGGAATAGAAATTCATAAAATGACCTGATCATGAATGATGATGATTTACGATTTTTTAACAAATCTATGACTAAATTTTATAAAATATATTAACTTAATTTTTTAAAATATATGTTTAACTAATGAATAAACAAGATTAGATTACGAATGAATTTCATTTCTTTCTGTAATTGCCCTAAAATCATTTTTTTCAGAAAAATCTATAAAATTAACTCCAAAAACTAATAAAATATCGATAAATTCGAAAAAATTACAACGAAAAGTATGTATATTATATATATAATTATACACATACTATTCGTAATAATTTTCATAAAATTATAACGAATATTATAAATTATAACAAATATAGAATTAAAAATATAAACTTTACAAAAATAAAAGTATTTTTATTGCTCCTTCTAAACGGTAATAGTCCAGCAATTAGCAAAAGAAAGCGCGTGACCGGTGGAGGGCGAGGGGTGGAGGGGTGTAGGAAGTGGCCCTTACTCATTTAAACTTAGCCAGATATAATGATGATGATGATATAGAAAATATTTTTATTTTTGTATAAAAATGAAAATTTAAGAAATATTTTTTTTTCTTGTTACAGAGGTTGTTGTTATGATGTAAATAGTATATTCCCAAAAGGTCTTCAGTTAGTTAATGTACAGATACGGCTTAGTTACAATCTATACATACGAGTATAATAAAATTCTAAACTTTGGATTGAATCCTTTCAGTATCGATCGATATATCGATATTACCTTCTCCTCTCTAGGAGATAATAATATCGATAGCACCTTCAACATCACTACAGTCTACAATATGCCCCTGCCCCCGACCCTTATGGTGCGATAGAGAGAGTTGCAAGTCTTAGACTCAATTACCTACATTTCCTTTTTGAAATATTGTTTCGGGCGATAACGTTTTCACCCCCCTAAACATTAACGAAATGAGACAATTTTGGTCTCATTAGATTCAGTACACCTTAATCTAGGTCTGTACGTTTTCCTTTTTTTGTAATTCAGTTTAGTTTAATTTAAAAAAATAAAAACGCTGGAGGACGTTTTTAGGTCAAAAATATAGATATTTAGATGCTAATAACTTCTATCGTACGCAATATTTCTAAAAAATAAAAACGTACGGACCTAGATTTTGATTATATCTACAACATTTCCAAAAATTATGAAAATTAGACAATGTTTAAGGGGGGAAAAACGTTATCGCTTTTTGTATGAAAATTTACAGCTTCACAATCCTCTTAATATGACAGTAAATACTCACAATATGTTACAAGTCTCACTTGTCGCGACGTAATGATGATACTACATATATATTAGTAACCGCGGGCGCATGTCCTCGAACATAATACAGAGAGTTTAGCCCGGATTCATTTACAGCTCGTATTTGATAAGATTGAATAGATTAAATTCAAAATTGGATTTTTTACTAGTAAATCTGTTTTGTTTCTGTACTTTAAAATACCTACTAATAATTGTTTTAAAATTTCCAAATATGCAAGATCCGGGTTATAATTAAATAGTGTATTAATAAAATTGAGTACATATTGGAACATAATATATGGTATTCGATAGTACAACACTAATTGATGGTGTATAGTGATTTTTTTATTGGTTTAAACTAGTTGGTAAATCCTTTGAGTTCGGGCTTATTTGTCTCAGAAGTACTTATCGAATATTAACTATAAAGACAAATCATTAATGAAAATAAGATTAAGAAATCGCTCAAAAACAGATCCAGAAGTCATCAAGAACAGTACTCATTGTATGATTTTTATGTGGTATCTCGAGAAATGCTTTTCAAACAAATATTTACTGTAAGAGTATTAAAAACTTTAAACTTATTACTTAGAGAACTTATCACTTAAAGAATCATTTAAAATTTTCCATGCTCCTTGGCGTCTTCTCTGACATTGGCGAAGTAATCTATGCTCAACTGGTACGCTTTGAAGTCATTAAGAGGATTGTGAAGTGCCGATACGCGGCGAGAGTAGGTATTTTTAAAAATGCTATCTGTTTCATACCGCTTTGCATCCCCCCGGCAGTGAACAACACAAATACAACATACGCAAATTCTCACACACACTATGATAGCAGCAGCCGGTGACGCGCGGGCGCTTGCGGGGGGCGGGGGCGGGGGCGGCGCGATTCGGCGCAAGAGCAATTTCAAAGTTTATCTAATATTTATTATTTTAACGGTTTGCGTACAATATACATTCCCTACAAGTTACATCGCACCTTTATTCATAAACTGAAATAACTCTAAATTACAATTCTGTGGCGAATATCATTTAAAATTTGACTTGTTTAGATTGATGACTTCAAAAAATCATAAAAAAATAAATAGGTGGTTTTAGATCAATTAACAAAAATCTCGTTCCAAAAGTTGAAAGTTATAGAATTTTTTGTTGTTTATGTAGGTACTAATAGACCCATCGGAATCCTTTTATTGTTAAAATAATTATTTTATTGAAAACCTGAAGTTTTATGATTTTATAATGTTAGCAGGTATATAAGGAATAGAAATTCATAAAATTACCTGATCATGAATGATGATGATTTACGATTTTTTAACATATCTATGACTAAATTTTATAAAATATATCAACTTAATTTTTTAAAATATATTTTTAACTAATGAATAAACAAGATTAGATTACGAATGATTTTCATTTCTTTCTGTAATTGCCCTAAAATCATTTTTTTCAGAAAAATCAATAAAATTAACTACAAAAACTAATAAAATATCGATAATTTCGAAAAAATTATAACGAATAGTATGTGTATATATATATAATTATACAAATACTATTCGTAATAATTTTCATAAAATTATAACGAATATTATAAATTATAACGAATATAGAATGAAAAATATAAATTTTACAAAAATAAAAGTATTTTTATTGCTCCTTCTAAACGGTAATAGTCCAGCAATTAGCAAAAGAAAGCGCGTGACCGGTGGAGGGCGAGGGGTGGAGGGGTGTAGGAAGTGGTCCTTACTCATTCAAACTTGGCCAGATATAATGATGATGATGATATAGAAAATATTTTTATTTTTGTATGAAAATGAAAATTTAAGAAATATTTTTTTTTCTTGTTACAGAGGTTGTTGTTATGATGTAAATAGTATATTCCCAAAAGGTCTTCAGTAAATTAAAAATGATCCTGTATATATATATATATATATATATATATATTCAGTTTTGTATTTTTTCTCAGAAATGAGATATTTTCCCGCGGTAATGCTATAATATGTTGATCCGGATAACCAGCTACCACCATACCAAATTTCATCAAAATCCCTCCAGTGGTTTTTCTGTGACGTGGTAACAGACAGACAGACATACAGACAGACAGACAAAAATTCAAAAAACTATAGATTCGGCCTCTGTATCGATAATAATGTTTATTTCAATAATATTTTCCAAAAAATATTTAATGTACAGATACGGCTTAGTTACAATCTATACATACGAGTACAATAAAATTCTAAACTTTGGATTGAATCCTTTCAGTATCGATCGATATATCGATATTACCTTCTCCTCCCTAGGAGATAATAATATCGATAGCACCTTCAACATCACTACAGTCTAAAATATGCCCCTGCCCCCGACCCGTATGGTGCGATAGAGAGAGTTGCAAGTCTTAGACTCAATTACCTACATTTCCTTTTTGAAATATTGTTTCGGGCGATAACGTTTTCACACCCCTAAACATTAACGAAATGAGACGAGTTTGGTCTCATTAGATTCAGTACACCTTAATCTAGGTCTGTACGTTTTCCTTTTTTTGTAATTCAGTTTAGTTTAATTTAAAAAAATAAAACGCTGGGGAAGTTTTTTAGGTCAAAAATATAGATATTTAGATGCTAATAACTTCTGTCGTACGCAATATTTCAAAAAAATAAAAACGTACGGACCTAGATTTTGATTATATCTACAACATTTCCAAAAATTATGAAAATTAGACTATGTTTAAGGGGGGAAAAACGTTATCGCTTTTTGTATGAAAATTTACAGGTTCACAATCCTCTTAACAAGAAAATTGAATTGGCTTAAATTGAATCTTCCATACTAGTATCATAATAATTAGTAAAAAAAAGAATAAAAATCATAATTGGAACAAACTGAAAAGTTAATATACACAATTAAGTGTTTTCATTCTTCAGTTTCATTATTTCTAAGGAAAATTGTATTTTATCATGTCAAGTATTTGTTGTAATACAATAGTATAGTATTAAAAGATAAGCGTCGTTGATAATAATTGAGATAGTGCTAAGATTGTTGTTTATATATAAAAAATTATGTTTGTTTGTCTGATTGTCAAGAAAGATGTTTGGTAAGGTTTCCGAATAGGGTACCTATCATCAAATTAATATATGTAGATGATGCGCCGTTAGTGTTCCAGAAAATAATTTATATAGGCATGTTTGATTTCTTAAAGATGGCATATTTTCCCGTTTTAAAAAATATCCTATATGTTGACCCAGATAACCAGCTATCATCATACCAAATTTCATCAAAATCTGTCCAGTGGGTTTCTTTTGATGAGGTTACAGATAGACAGACACGACAGACAAAAATTCTAAAAACTATAGGTTCGGTCACTGTATCGATAATAATGACTATTTCAATAAGATTTTTCAAAAAAATAATTAATGTACATATATATACAAATTAATAATAAGTTATTTATTAGATAGATAGATATGTTCAAAAAATAATATACCCATAACGTGTTTAATATATACTAATAATAATATACTAACTCTTAGAATAGATAAATTGTATGTGTTTTCGTTTTATCTTCTTTTTTGTGTAATTATGGGTTTTTGCCTGAATTAAAGATTTATTATTATTATTATTTAATATAGGTACAAACCGGTTTTATTGTAATAAATAAATGAAGTTTTAACTCCTACTAGAGCTTATTTCCCATTTCAAGCGATACCAAATTTATTAAACCTTAAAATAAAACAAAACAAAAAGAATAAAAAAATATCAAGTTTTTCGTATTATAACTACTAATATTATTTACTTTATATAAATTACTAGCATTGCCCGCGGCTCCGCCCGCGCTCAGATGACCAAAAACCAATTTCTTAGGTTTTACATATTAGTGTCTTACATTGTAGTTTTTGTATTTTTGCTCAGAAATGAGACATTTTCCCGCGGTAAAAAGTATATATATGTTGACCCGGATAACCAGCTATCACCATACCAAATTACATCAAAATACCTCCAGTGGGTTTTCTGTGATGCGGTAACAGACAGACAAAAAAATCTAAAAACAATAGATTCGGTCTCTGTATCGATAATAATGTTTATTTCAATAAGATTTTCCAAATATTTAATGTACAGATTCGGCTTAGTTACAATTTTATTAGAATAGATTTGTATAAAATAGGGATGCAATCGTTCATAATACATTTGCACAACTTGTGATCACGTCCTTATTTTAACAGTGAAACCGAAACTGTATACTTCTCATTGACATACAAAAAGTTGTCTGATCATAAAAACATACTTTGGTCTTTTTTATAATTCTGATGACCAGAATTTATGACTTGATACTACTTAGGTTACAAAAAGGAGGGTAATGTCAAATGTGTTTATGAGTCTATGTATGTTTGTTTGTTATTTTATGGCGTTCTAAAGAGACCAAACCGATTTTGAAGATTCATACGTAGTTATATTCGTTTAGGATAAAAAATGAAATAAATATAACTAACTACATATATCTAGCGGCAAGGATGAAACGTATGTTTCCGACTGAAAAATATTTAATGTACAGATTTAGCTGAGTTGCAATTTATACATACATATGTATGATTTAGCTAAAGCGTTAGTTGTTCTATGTTCACTGTACCGTGGTGACCTTGTTCACTAGTGCAATGAAAATCAAGACAGATGCAACACTTTAAAAAACGGCTATGTTTAAAATACTGCAATAATTTACTTACATATACCTGGGCGACAGATTCGTTCGGCGTTATTCGGGGAAAGTAGGTATAAAAATTGCAAGTATAAACTTATAATTTAGTACACGATCCCGACTTGAAGACTTTCCTTCATAGATTTTTTTAAATTAAATACACACAGATGATATATAAACAAAATGCACTAGGGTTGTCACTTATTTAGATTACCGTGATGTTGTTTTTTTAAGTTACTATTAGAGCATTTTAAACTTTATTTATTAATATTACTAGGTTACCGCTTTCACTCGGATGTGTCTGTGCCTTTTATATTAATAATACCAGCGACTCACCCTCGCCTCGCTCGGGTTCGCACCTAGGTGATTCTTTAAATTAACATAACTTTTTTATTTATGAACCGATTGAAATAAAACAAATACTAAATTTTAAGCGAAGCTTACTATAATACATTAGTGAAAACCACACCCAAATCGGTTAAGTCGTTTCTGAGATTAGCACGCAAAGACAAAAATTCTAAAAATCATCGATTTAATGCGTTAATAAAAACCCTCAATAATAGTTTTACCCAAATATCTTTCATGTACAGACAGCGATCAGTTACAATTTTATTATATGTATAGATTTACTCTATATAAGATTATAGTAACACATTATTACATACATACTTACTCCAGTTCATAGTCTATCTGCTGACGAAGCATCCAAATCCGTCCAGCACTTTCAACGTGAATGAGTAACTTCCGCATTCATAAGTGTGATATCCATACTATTTACTAATATTATGTGAAAGTGTGTTTGTTTGTCTGTCCTTCTTTCAGATGGAGATAGTTGGAGGGCTGGAGAGTGACATAAGACTACTTTTTACCGCGGGAGATTATCTCATTCAAACGGGACAAAAAAAATGATCAGAATTACTTGAAATTTAATATTAATGCTCTTCAATACAATTAAATAAATACGTGTTCTAGCATTTTTAGAAATTCATTCTATAAGGGGTAAAATAGGGGATGAAAGCTACTTTGATCGAGTTTTTTGTAGTTTTCGCTCGAGCGAAGCCGCGGGTTTTGCTAGTATGTAATAAAATTGGAAGTAAAAAAAGAAATAAAAATACAAATTCCACTCTTATATTAACAAAAATATTTATTCAAACATTTACATTATAATCTCAGACATGTTTGAAATTTGACCACATTTCCTTTAATCTACATTAAAAAATAACATCTTCTGTATACTTGAATGGCGGTTTTAATTATAATAATTAGGTGATATTTAAAATCGCACCATTTTTAGAAATCATACTCAGATTTAGGTACATTCTCGCTGTAAGTTTTTACTTTAGGATCTGCATATACTGCGTCGATGATTCGTTGGAAGCTTGGGTACTGTTTCTCTAGATCTGGTATTTGCATCATTGCTTTGAGATAGTAGAACATACCGGCGAAAACAAAATCCCCCCACGTAAGCTGGAAATTGTTTTATTAAGTTTTCATTATACACAGCACAAATAAGGAATTTTAAATGAATTTTGAGTGTTTTGAATGTCTATTGGCCGATTTCACCAACGTCACCTAAGTTTAAGGGATCTCCTAAGCATGGTTAGGGGCCTGTTAGGGGACAGTTTCTGTTTCACCGACAGTTAGGGGTCACCTAAATATTAAAAGGCCCCCTAAATTTAGGTGCTCGAAATATGGGCTTAAAGACGATCGCAAAACGAAATTTAATTAAGGGGCTAGTTTAGGGGACTTTTAAGCTAGGGATCCCATACGTAGGTTATGGGTTGTTGGTGAAATCGGGTATATAACTACTAAAATATATGTAACTAGTTATAAGGTAGACATTGTCTGTCACAGAATTAAAGCCTACTTTTATTTTGATTCTTTAGATTGACATAATTTTTTTATTTATGAGCCGATTGAAATAAAACAAATTAAATGTTAAGTGTACCTTACCATAATACTTTAGTGAAAACCGCATACAAATCGGTTAAGCCGTTACATAAAATTAAATTTAGATTTAGATCAATGTCGAAAAGGAGGTTGTATTTCATTATTTTCCAATGAAAAGGTTATATCTTAAAAATCACAGATAATATAAATTTAAAAAAAACTTTCTAAGGATAGAAAAAAAATTAAAGTTAGATTTTTAAGTCTATATTTAAAGAAGAATATTTTACCTTTCCAGCAGCAATATGACCATTATTTTTCTTTACAATTTCATCCAACTTGCTGAGCATTACCGGGTACACGTTCTTGCTAAAGTCTTCATGTTTCTTTGCTTTATTCGCCTCATCGGCCTCGTAGTGAACTGTCGCTGCCTCTATGGGGTTAAAATATCAACATAATATATGAAAATCGATAAGTCTGCTATTTATTTATATATATATATATATATATATATATATATATATATATAATAGCTTTGTTTGTTATTTTAAGGAGTTAAAAAAAAGATATTGATAAACCTTTTAATTTGTTATCTATTTTTCTCATTATGAGTTCTAATTATATTCAAATTTCATATACATACACAAGAGCAGCGGTAGCATAGTGGTAACAAGCTCACTTGGGAAAACGAGTGAAGCGGGTTAGATTCCTGGGTCTCGTATGTGATATTTACATGTGCGAATCATTTGCAATACGATTACAGTGAGGAAACCTGCATGTCTGAGAGAACTTAACTTTGCGAAAGACATGTAAAATTAGCTAACCCGCACTTGGCCAGCGTGGTGGACTATGACCTGATTCTCCTCGCATTGAAGGAAGGCCCGTGCCCAGCAGTGGGACGTTAAATACATATCCATCATGTTTTTAATGACATTTTTTATTCCCCTTCACAACATAAAAATGCTATATGTTTATAAGGTAACTTACTAGCACGGATGTCATTAAGAAACTCGACATTCTGGTCGATCTCGAAGTCTTCCTCAATATCCTGCCCGGCGAGCCCGTACTTGCGACCGAGGTAGCGCGCAATGGCTACGCTTTGTGCGTATTTTTTACCATCGATCTCTAAAACTGGCAACTGCCCAAAGGGTGTGGCTAAAAAAAATAGAACCTATTAATATCTCAAAGTGTATGTTAATTAAATAAATAATTTTCTTTTCAATGAAAACTTTTTATTATTTATATATTTTGCTGCTATTCACGCTTATTTAAATGTATTTCCGGGTAAAACTAAACTTTTTAATGCCATCACGTAAAAACTACTGAACGTATAGGTAAAAAATTATTTCCCACCAATAAAAACAAAAAAACGCCTTTTTGTATTGTATTTTTGTAATGCCCTAGAATCTAGGGCCTAGATTGATGAGGAGAGTGGTGTGATGACTAGTACTATACATTTTAGTTTTGATTATTTCGCGTTATTTTTCAAATATAGATGTCCTGAGAAGGAAAATGTCGATATAGTTATAAAAAAATCGATAAAACTCTGATACTACTGAGTCCATTTTAATAATTTTTTCATTTATTAGATAGCATTATCATTTATCTAGGCTATTAATTACTTATATTTGTAATGTGTTTTGACCGAGCTATCACGGCTGTTGTCTAGCAATTCGGAAAAATACAGTATAGTGTATGGCAAATATTTATTAATAATATTTCGATGAAAATTAATTGATAAGCTTATAAACGATAATAATTATTTTGTTATCATGCGAGCATCGACCAAAAAAGTAGGTACTAGATAGTAGATAGTGTGAAATAGATATACAATAATGTAAATTGAACCTTAAATGCAATGCTTAAAGTCGTTTTAACAAAAAAAATTAAAAGCGCGCTCAAATGTTCAAATGAGCGCTCATTCGGTGAGGACATTTTTTGTCGCTGATTGTGTATCTACTATCTAGTACTCTTTTGATCGGTGCATGCAAGACATAAAATAAGACATAAGCTATTATTAAAAATAGTATTTTTTATCGCACTAGTTATTTGTTTTAAAAAGTTAATTCAAACAATATTTTTTTACAGAATTATCGAGACAAGTTTGCACATGATAAGAATATGGAGTTTAGTCCATAATATGTTATCAGCACTAGGTAGGTACATCAACGCGTTAAGTTTCTCAAATTTCTTGATACCACCAATATACTGATAAAAATAACTAAAAAATCGCATTTCAAATGTGAATAATCAAATTCAATAATATTAAAATAGCTTGAACTTAAAACTTTAGCATAAATACGCATTTTACTTATTACTAGCGATCTAACCTCCCTTCCTTTCCCTTTTATATTTAAAATAGTCATTCACCCTCGCTCCGCTCCGCTATGTTTTAACGGTTAGTATAGATTTCTCAGAGGTGAGATATTTTCCCGCAGTAAAAAGTATCTTATATGTTGACCTGAATTACCAGCTACCATCATACCTATAATTTCAACAAAATCTGTCCAGTGGTTTTCTCGTGATGCGTTTCCAGACAGACAGACAGAAAGACAAAAATTCTAAAAACTATAGATTCGGCCTCTGTATCGATAATAATGACTATTTCAATAAGATTGTCCGAAAAATATTATATATATATATATAGTTTGTAGTTAGTGTCACCTTTTGGCAATTTTATAACAAATTAGCACTATGTGTTACCTCCAGATCATATTTTAGGTATATACTAAAGTTAATACAAATCCGGCAAGTCGTTTCAGCGTTAAGAAATAACAAAATGACTCAAACATACATACAAACTTTCGTTTTATAATAGTAGCCCTACGATGATACTATAACAATTAACTTGCAATAATAACATGGACTCTATCGATTAGCTAAAGTAAAGAAAAAAAATGGATTACTAGTTAGGTATTTCTTCCCCGATGTGTGTTCACTTTTCGTGGACAATGTGCTTATGTGGCAATCCAGCCGGGGGCGAAGCCAAGAGGCACATTGGGAGGAAGCCCACTTCGGTGGGCGGTGTACCATTCGGGTTGCTCCTGGTACTTCTCTGATAGCAGAGTTGACCGTGGGAGCAACTCCATGGTTGTTGTGGTCTGCTTTGGCAGACCTGCCGTCGTGGTGTCGTAGTTGAGTGCGTATGCGATCCTGCGACGCCCCATAAGACGAGAAAAGTTTTGTTGGGTTTTAGTGGGTAGAATACTAACTTCTCTAGCCGGTGGGTCCCACATAACCACCGATATGTATGCAGTTGCAAATGCATTTCTCAACATTAAAAATAAAAGGATGCATTACAAGTTACATGTGTTTATACTCACTAGGTTTAATAGCAGGCCATTCATCAGGGAACGATATACGACGGTCTTCGAACTCCTGACCACCGTAAGCTAGGAGCAACCTAGTGGACTCACCTAACGCCTTCAGAGGGAAATAGGAGAAAACGACTTTCGGCATATTGCTATACTGAAATAATTTGTACATAAAACACTAATTAGAGCAGTAGAGTTATATTACATTTTCTGAAAAAAAGAAATTTATAGAAAAAAATATTAAGTTGTACCTTATTTGTAGTTAATAAAATTATATGTCCTGGCTGAATGATATCACAACGCCTATTATACTAAATCAATAGATTAAAAAGAAAATGATTTTGACTTAACAATCTGTGTTAAATGATATTAAAAAAGTTAACCTATAACTTATAGGGTCAAACTCAAAGTATCAAATTAAGAAAATAACCGCGAAAAGTAGGAATGTTAGCTAATCTATACATAATATAATAAAATTGTAACAAGCCGAATCTGTACATTAAATATTTTTTGGAAAATCTTATTGAAATAAACATTATTATCGATACAGAGGCCGAATCTATAGTTTTTAGAATTTTTGTCTGTCTGTCTGTTACCGCATCACAGAAAAACCACTGGAGGGATTTTGATGAAATTTGGTATGGTGGTAGCTGGTTATTCGGGTCAACATATAGGATACTTTTTACCGCGGGAAAATGTCTCATTTCTGAGAAAAAATACAAAAACTGCAATGTAAAGGTTTACTAATAGGAAAAACTAAGAATTTCGTTTTTAGTCATCTGAACGCAGGCGGAGCCGCGGGCACTGCTAGTTATATAATAAATCAAATAAAAACTATAGGTTGAAAATATGTAAGTACCTCCAGCGCTTTCGAATATTTTCTCAATGTTATTCATATAGGTACATTGTTTCTTTAAACTAAGACCGAATGCTAAATTAGTTTGTACACTACATTAATAAAACTTATATTCATTATTCATATTTTGAGAAAAACCGATATAAAAATGATTAAACCGTTCATTATCTATGATTAGGTTTTCGTTACCATGAATCGTAATTCGTAACGCTTGAGTGCACTGACCGCTTGTTATGAAATATTTTAGCCGGTTATTTTCAACTATTGTATTACTTTATTTTAAGCTTCTATAAAAGGTAATAATTGAGGATAACTGGTAAATTAAGCACATTTATTGTAGAGAATTCATTATGCTAACTAAAAAAATATATTAAAATACTCACAATTTAGTTGTAATGTTATTATGACACACACTATTCCGCCGATCGACAAACTCTGACTGACTCATAGAGTATATTGCTACATATGGACTGACTGAACCGAGTTACCGAAGTACGAAGACGAACGTTCACATTTCACGGTTCAACGTTGTCATCGATTACGACAGACGACTATCGAGTTCGGTACTCGAGTCTCAATTCACTCGAGTTTAGAGGCGCACAGCTTTCTGCTAAATAAGATATTTTTATTTTTTAATGAAATTGTAATAATTTGTTATTTAAAGAATAAAAAGAAATGTTGTAAATTTAGTTGATGCTTACAATATTTTGCCTTTAACTTTGAGGAGTCTTACGATCCTTTATTCTTTAGGCTAATTGCATTCCCCATAGTCTATAGATTTTTTATTAGAAAACATACTTCAATAAAACATTTCATTTCCAATAGATTTTTTTTCTGAAAATAAAACTAAAGTTTGACTTTCAGTAACTTTTTTTCATGTCTTTTTTCAAAATTGTGAAAAAAACTAGTTTTTTTTCATGTTACATCACTAGTTCCTAATCAGTATAAAGATATGCAGGATAAGTTGGATGAGCTATTTAACCAAGCTGTAAGGCAATTATTGTCATTCGTCGTATGATAAATCAGCTTGGCACTTCTTCAACGCGCACATTTTGACGATAGTTTAGTCAGATATCTTTTTAACTATTTATATCATAAATATATTAGTACTATACCTATATTTAATACGATTTTATTAAAATAAACAGCCCATTAATGTATTTTTTCCAAGGCCACGCGGCTGCGATGCGATATTAACTTTAAGTTAAATAGTTAAGGTACATTTTTGTATGCAGCGTCCAACAGCTGCCAGCCCAAGTGACCCGATTGCCGACTTTTTATGGGTCGATAGTTTAGTTGAGGTCTTAATTTATTCTCTGAATTTATTCTTATATTTTAACTTTTAGTATAATTTTTAGTATAATTTAGTTATTTTTTAACTTTTAGTATAGATTTCTCAGAGATGACATATTTTCTCGCAGTAAAGAGTATCCTATATTATGTTGACTCGGATAACCAGCTATCATCATAACAAATTTCATCAAAATCAGTCCAGTGATTTTCTCGTGATGCGTTCCCAGATAGACAGACGAATAGAGAGTCAGATGGACAAAAATTCTAAAAACTATAGATTCGGCCTATGGTATGATAATAATGATTATTCCAATAAGATTTTCCAAAAAATATTGTACAGATTCTGTTAGAATTTTATTATATGCATAGATTATTTAGTTGTTGCATGTTGTGAAATGTGAAGCATAGGTTTACAGGTTTTCGTCGATATTTTCCTCAATAGTTAAACTTATATTATAATAACTGGATTCGTATCTATTAATGAACTGTTCCCAATGCAATTAACTTCGATGTCCAATGGTTAGGTTAGAGTTTATACTGGCTGCCATTAGTCTGATGAACATGTTGTAAATAAACGATGCAGTAATGAATGAAAATGTGTATGTAAATTATGCAAAGATCGTTACTAAATAATACGTGACATGACTAGTTCAGAATCGCATTTAAAGTATATAATAAATAATGCATTTACACATACCACCTGTATAAGTACATACAGGTGATTATGTGGGACTCGCTGGAACATTTTCAAGCCTGATACACATGTTGTTATCTTCATTTAAAGATGGATTTTATAAAGGTATACCCCTGAGGTATAACCTATTTAAAAAAAACACACAAAAGTCGATTCACCATTGACGAAGACATACACACAAGAAAAATATAGAACCTAATTGAATACCTCCTGCTTTCTGCTATCGTTCAAATAGGGACTCTGTACCGAGCACAGTAAGGCTGTTTTTCTTTGGCTACGAAATATAGTGATTATATATCCATGTATTAATATGTACATTGTATATACATACATGCATGTATGTATGTGTGCATGTTTTATCTAGTAAAATGCAAGTCATTTAATATCAATATTAAATGACTTGCATATAAATAATAATACGAGTATATAGGTAGGTATACATAAGTCCAGCAGCCAGTGGGTACGCGCTTGCTTGGAAAACCAAGTGATGCCAGTTCAAGTTCCGGGACTCTCCCCTCTGATATTCTTATGCGTGAATCATTTTCAACATAATTGTCACTCGCCTTACGGTGCAGGAAAACGTCTTGAGCAAACCTTTAAGTCTGCCAACACTCATTAGGCCACTGTTGTGGACTATAACCTGATCGGTGAACCTACACATTGAAGCGAGATCCGTACCTAATGGGATATTAAAAAGAGTTGAATTATTATTATATATTTTTCAAGGTTTTATAGGTGTCGTCTAAACAACAGATCTGTAAAGTCCTAAAGATTCTCATCTCTGTAAAGATTACTTTTCTCTGTATTGACAGAAGAAAACTTTGGTTTTGTTTCAGACAAATGACAAATTGAAAGATATACATATATACATTTGATATTACTAAATTATTGTTCCGTATAATTCTGCATATTGTTGCAAAAATAAATTGTTTGTAAACGTCTCGCCGGATGACCGTATCCTGTCATACATCTGTACTTTATACTTACTACACAGCGTGAATACTGTAAATATGGTACACCGGTTTTATATTTTCAATTTTGCCCTTTGTCTGTCAACCAATTTTCTTTTTTTGAAGTGAAACTTCTTTAGAATTGTTGTGATTTGAAACTCGATGAAACGGAAATGCGACACCGGAATGAGAGAAACACATAAATATATGGGATAAACCGGTGAGAGAATGAGATAGAATACATTACACAAGTGAAAAATAAAACTGAATAATATGTTATATAATATATGTTAAGTAAAATGTAAAATAACTTTTAAATTGGTAAAAAAACTAAACCTTACAATTATTTTAAATATTATATTTATATTTTTATAATAATTATTACTTATAAAAACGAATATTTATTACTGTAGGATGAATGTGCATAAATTTAATAAAAGCTATTATGACTAATTGTTGCCATGGTAACCGCCTGACAAATGATATGTAAAATTATATTTTTTCCGTTTAAGATATTCTATAATAGCCCAATATCCTAGGGCAGACGTCACGTATTTTTTGACAAACGAAATGTGGACGATTGGGTAGTGTTAGTATGTACTAAGATCGCATGCCATGCATATTACTATTATATATTATAGAAGCCAATAAAAGCGTTTTAAAAATCCCTCCTTCCTTATTAATTTAAAAATAAAAACTGCTTTAGAACATGAATTGCAAAATTGTTAATTAATTTTAACAATATAAAGTATTGAATTTTAAATTTTATTATCATGAAACCTGTTTATTCGTTGTTTTTGCCAGTCACCGTGCTGTAGAGATAACATGGTACACACTACATATCATACGTTGAGTTAATTTATCGCAAATTCCCTCAATCATTTTATGAACATAAATAGAATAGGTGGCGTTTGACCGGTTACTGGTTAGTCTGTTTAATATGTATTGTATGTTTATGTGATCTGTGGTTTGTTGCCATCGGTCGTGTTGTTCAACGTCTACTACTAACGAATTGTGAGTATTCATCATTGATATAGACATAGATGCACAGTTTCTAAAAATATCTCTTTAAAAAGTAACCTCGTAAGTGACGCAAAGAATATGTACTCGTAAAACCAAAAAAATTAGATTGTGTTAACACAAATTCGTTATGTCACGTTTTCAAATTATTTTCCGAAAAGAGTAGAGTTGTTGTTATATTTATTTTATTTTCTAAAAAATTGCAATTTAATAATATTGCCGTAAAAGTTTCTATTATCATTAGAAATGTGTATTAAAGTAAATGTAATCTTTAATGGTTTTCATCATTATATATTACGAAATTATTTTAAGATAAAAATAAAATTTAATAGTATATTTATTTCTTCAAAATAAAACATTAAGTAATGAATTATTCGTTTAAAATGGAAAAAGGTTAATTTTTAAATAAAATCAATAGTAAATAAGAAAAATGTAAGAATAATAATAAAATACATAAATACCACTTTATTTAAATCAGAATAGAGTCATGTTATTAGTTAGGATAATCGACCAAGTATAGAAGGACATCGTAATATATTGTTCCGATAGCAAATAAGCGCCTAAAAAATTTGTCAAATAATAATATCGACCGGTATCTGAAATAAAATACAAATGAAAAAAAAAATAATTCTCATTATAATATATCATTACAAAAACATATCATTTAATCCCTCAACGACCGCGGACACACCGGCGTTACAGTTAACAATAGATTTCTTAGAAATTTAATTAATTTCTTAGAAATTTACCTTTTTATTATCGAAAATACGATTTTCCATCCTTTTTAAGATTCTAAATGTAATAATTTTATTTTTTTTGTAAAAAACACTGACATATCGGACGTCCGCTCTGTAGTTCACGCCTATGGAGACTATTTGGAAAGAGCGCACAATTTCGAATAAACGATTATAAGTGTTAATGTAAATGTAGACCAATTGTTGACTAAAATGGATACATGCTAAAGGTCATACCTTGCATGAAAAGTGGTCAAGGCCAATACATAATATTCATTTTGGCAGATATTATAATTATGAATGATTATTTAAATATATTTGTTATTTTCTAAGCTAATTAGTTGTATTATATGTATTTTTTCAGCAAAATGCCTTCAAATAAAATTTACTACTTTGACTGCAAAGCTTTGGGCGAAGGAGCTCGTCTATTGTTGGCGTATGGTCAAGAAGGATTCGAAGATATTAGAGTAACTGAAAAAGAATGGCCCTCTTTAAAACCAAGTTAGTATGGAAGTAATAACAAATGTTAAATAACAAAAATTGGGCCACTTTTTGTTACTAAGTCAACTTAGTGTCTAGTCTGTACAACTGTAGATGGTAATGTCCTGGGTTCGATTACCAGGTTTGATAAAAATTAACAATAACATTTCTTAATTAATTCCTAATTGAAACCATAAATTGGAAAGTCGGAACTCGTAAGTTTGTCGTCTGCGTCTAATTTTTTTTCGATCATGTTGAATATTGTCCTTCAGAACCTATTGTAATAACAAAAATGCAATAGTTTTAGCTTAGCTATTTATAAAAAATAGCAATGGTAAAAACAATAGCATTCCCAAGAAGGGCTGATGTCAGGCAGGCGGCCTGTTGTAAAACTTTTGCCAAATTCTATCAGCAGTACGGAAGATGTGCTGCGCCGACCCCGAGTGATTGGGAAATGGGCAGGCAGATGATGATGATTAGTTTGGCAAAAACAATCGGTTTGGCTAGCATTATCAAGAAAGTGTGGAACCGTTTGTATGATTGCCTTTTTAGTTGAAATTGAAAGCTTATATTAAAAGTACCTAAAGACAAAATGCTTACAGTAAAAGTAGCTTTTTCACATATAAGCTTAACATGAAAAAAGTAAAAATAATCTCTAAAAGTTCATAGGAAAATAATGATTCTAGTACGTATTCTTCTTTAAAACTCTTCAAAAAAATTAATAAACATTTGTTTTAGCCATGCCTTTCCAAACCATGCCCGTCCTGGAAGTCGATGGAGTAAAATACTCTCAAAGTCTCGCCATTGTACGCTACCTCGGCCGCAAATACGGACTTTCGGGCAAAACATTGGAGGAAGATCTCTTGATCGATCAGAACATGTATTTCTTTAACGATATTCGTCTAGGTATATAATTTTAATATATTAATATTTATTTTAGTAACAATGGCATAACAAAGTCGATTTCTGATTTCTCCGTATGCAACAGCAAAATGTCGTGACTAATCAATTGATTTATTGTAGTGAATATTTTAAATGCGATTTTTCTAATAAGATTTTGGAAACTTTGCAAAGATATACTAGTATGTTTAGCTTTGAAAAATAAGCCATTGACTGCATTGACATGCCTTATTAGACGTTTTAACGGTTATTTATAGATTTCTTAAAGATGAGATATTTTGCTGCAGTAAAAAGTATCCTATGTTGACTCGCATAACCAGCTGTCATAATACCAAATTTCATCGAAATCTGTCCAGTGGTTTTCTCGTGATGCGTTCGCAGACAGACAGACAAAAATTAAACTATAGATTCGGCCTCTGTATCGATAATAATCACTGTTTCAATAATGTGTATTCGGCCCTTTTTAACGTCCCACTGCTGGGCACGGGCCTCCCTTCAGCACGAGGGGAATCAGGCCATAGTCCACCACGCTGGCCAAGTGCGGATTGACGGACTTCACATGTCTTTTGAAAACTTGCTAGGTTCTCTCAGACATGCAGGTTTCCTCACGATGTTTTCCTTCACCGTTAAGACAAGTGGTAATCATGTTGGAAATGATTCGCACATGAAAATATCAGAGGTGCGAGACCCGGGATTTGAACTCACATCATTCGGTTTCCCAAGCGAGCGCGTTACCACTGGGCTACCACTGCCTGTTTGTTTCAATAATATTTTTCAAGAAATATTTAATGTACAGATTCGACTCAGAATTTTATTATATGTATAGATGTTTAAACTACGCTTTAAATATATTGATTAGTCCATGAATAAAAAGCAGCTTGAATAATTAACCTTTATAAATAAAAAGACCATTTGACTTCCGTCGAACTATCTCATAATTTAAGAAAAAATTTACTATCACACAGACAGACAAATATTTTAAAAATCAATTTTGACTTCTATTATAGATCTTTAATTATATTTTTCAGCTGCCTACGGTGTCTCACTTTTGCCTGATGAGGATCTTAAAGCTAAGCAAAAGAAAGATCTCCACGAAAACTACTTACCAAAGGCATTGAAAAAGTTGAACGAAATCTTTAACGAGAACAACGGACACTTAGGAATTGGAAGGGTATTTATTATAATCTTTTTACATCAATATCTTTAAAATAATATTTTTTTAAATTATATTTTGCTGTAACAGATAGTTTATTAAGATTACTTAGAGATCGTTCAGTGGTCGATATTCAATCATCATTATTTAAAATTGGAGGAAAATTTGGAAACAGTTTCTTATATAGATATGTTAATTCTATTTATATATAATAATATATACGAGTATAATAAATAAACACAATTTACCTGTCTATAGATAAAAAATCTGTCTTCAAATTTGAAGTTAAAAGCTGTTATTTTAACATTACAAATTTGTCAAATAATCGCGTAAATCTAAGAAAGTATGACATGAATTAAATTCAATTAAGTAGCTACTTTCTTTTTAATACAAACTGACTTAGCTATACAATTCACGGACTTTTGTTTTATTTTTCAAAAAAAAAACAAATAACTAAATGCAAAGTAAACAAAAATCTGTTCGTATATGTCAGCACGGGCGAGTCGTATGAGGGATGCGAATTGGGAAGTGCGATAAACATGCCGCCCAAACAACACGGAAAGCAATGATCGGCTAGGCAGCCGATAACTCGGCCTTTTTCCAATCGATTAGTCGGCTAATCAGCAAATCGCAAAAAATTATAAAATACAATATATATACAATATATACGAGAAAAACACTGGACAAATTTCATAGAAATCTGTCCAGTGGTTTTCTCGTGATGACACACAGACGCGTTCACAGACAGACAGACAGACAAAAATTCTAAAAACTATAGATTCGGCCTCTGTATCAATAATAATCACTATTTCAATAATATTTTCCAAGAAACATTTAATATACAGATTCGACTCAGAATTTTATTAAATTTATAGATTTTTAAACTACGCTTTTAGATCCATTGAATATAAAGCTTGCTTGTCTTGTCTAACTCAAATTAATGATCGTGCTTGATACATCTGCGCCTGCGCAGCGCGCATTTTTGTTAGCAACGAATTAAATTTGATTTTTTTTGCAGCTTACATGGGCAGACTTCATGTTCGCGGGAACTTACGACCGAGTTAAGTTTCTACTTGAAATACCTGACATCGACGAACAATACCCAGCCTTCAAAAAATTACAAGACAAGGTATTATCAATTCCTCAAGTGAAAGCATACCACGAGAAAGCACCTAAATCGATTTGGTAACATTCCGTCTCTTGTTATTTAATAAAATTAAGAATAACTTCTTATTTTTTATTTATACAGTACAAAAAATAAACCTTTTTAATTATAATAATCGTTTTTTTTCCAACTCCTAGTCACCAAATTGTCAACACACGTACAAATTGTATTGCGGAATGTATCTATCTAACTTAAATATTTACTGAAAAATATATTATTGTCAATCTTGTTACGGAACTCGAATCGTCGCATCAGCTTTGCTCTACAAACCTCGCGCGGCGACGACAAGACAAGGTCAGGTGCAAGTGCAAGCGCAGCAGCCACCTACATTTCATCAATGCCAATGTCTCAACTTCCTACAATAATGTAGTTTAAAAGGCATTACTTGGCTGCATCTTCATTGATTTGATCTAACATCGATCGACAGTCATTTTAGTAGTAAAACTGAAATGAAATGAAATTTATTTATTTAGTATCAAATTCCTATAAGTATACAGTAAACAACAATGGCTACGATGATACTGCAAAAGTATAAACTGCGTTGCAGATATCAACGCCCGCCTACGTACAATATTTAAACTATTTTATAAAAACTAAAAAACAATAAGATGATGATGATGTGTGTGCGTGTACGTGTGCGTGTGCGTGTGTGTGTGTGTGTATGTGTGTGTATATGTGTGTGTGAATGCAAAATTCTTTAATAAACAATGGTCAAAAGTTCTTTAGTCTCTACTAGGTAATACTTCTAGTTAATAAATTAATTTTTAGTTAAATTGCATTTCTTTGCATCCTGGTTGCCTCCAAAACATAACCATCTCTTCTGTCTGTTTGTTTATTTTTTCATTGGCAACGAAGCAAAAAAGTGTTTATATTATGTATGTATGTAAGAGTATTTGTCAATACTTATTTCATATGTATAAATATTGAAGTTCTAATAAGTTTTTTTTATTGTAGTGTAGTAGGTATTATTTTGGAAATCAGTTTCGCACATTAAAATATTACAGGCTTGTTTGCCCCTACAATAATTTCTACTAAATAGTTTTTGTACCAAAGCGCCTATTGAAATATTAACGACAACACGCATAATATAGTTTTTTTTTATAATGTAATATTTTTTAATAAGGTGGTACAACCTACGTAGTCTAATCTGAATCCGGTTTGGGATAAAATATTTTGAAGTTTTATGATTTTAAAATGTTAGCAAGTATGTAAGGAATAGAAATTCGCAAAATGCCCCCTCTGTCCAGCTACACCCGAGAAATGGGGGGACGCAGTGTTGAAAAATAGTTTTTTTCAATTTCCGGCTTACTGTGACGTTCTATCGAAAAATGTTTTGTACAAAAGTTGTAGGTCTAGTAAAATTCTACAACTTTTATAAATAACACTTATTACAATAACCTCAAAGTTTTGGAGATTTTTCTTGGTTTTTTATTTTTAATTTCTAGAATAATCTTTTGATTTCCATGAAACTAAGGGAATGTTATCTTCGAAATACATATAATAAATTAAAAAAAAAAATTAATGTTTAGCTATTTTCGAGAAAAGTATGTTTTATGGTCTCGATAGGCTGAAAATCACCCCCCACTTCAAGTGGGCGCTTACATTTAAAAAAAATTTTGTTCAATTATTTCTATATTTCTTACTTACGTAATATACTTACTACTGTATTATATTCTAAGATATTAGTGTGCTTTAAATTTCAGTCTGAAAATGTGTTATGAATGTACACGTAAGTAAAATAGAGAAAACAAGTAAAAAAAGCCAACGTCACGCGGTGTTCCCAGGCGGTCACCCATCCAAGTACTAACCGCGCCCGATGTTGCTTAACTTCGGTGATCGGACGAGAACCGGTATATTCAACGTGGTATGGACGTTGGCGATTGCAATATTCATAAAGTTCTTCACAATATTCAAAGAATACTATTTTTGGCTGTTTGAATGAAAAAAAATTAAAAATTTTATATTTATGATCCCTATCTTTCTTTATTTTTTTATTATTGGAAAATACAATACTGTGTGCCGAAATCTAATACGAGTTTTTTTACTTACTCGATCGCGAGAAATTAAATAGAATTGAAAGTACGCCATCTAGTAATAGAAAGAGACATCATTTTATCTCTTGCAGCATTTTATAGGGTCAATTTTACCAAGTTCCTTTAAATTAGTCGTTACTCGTTAGCAAATTAATGTTTAAAAAACCTGCAAGTTAAAATCTATCTATACTTAATTCTTTCTTAGATTTACGCGAATACTTGACATTTTAAATAAAACTATCTTTTCGGATTTTTTCGCGAATTTATTTTGATTTTTGGTTCCCGACGTTTCGAATGCTTTACAGCAATCATGGTCACGGGAGAGACTGAGGTGTTAGATGTCTCTAAGGTATTATATAGTTGTTACAGACAAATAACAAAATGAATTCAAAAATTGAAAAATGGCACCAAAGTACCTTACAATATTTTAACTTTTAACTTTAAACATTTTTATATAATATTAATTAGTTTTATAATTGAATATGGAATATTATTTATTTAATAAGTTATAATTATTACAATTTTAAAAATTTTAATTACTAATCTATATTTTTAGTGTTGCCATTATTATATTTATAACCATAAAGAAAAAATCATAATATATTAATTATTTAAGCCACATAATTGATCTATGTGTAATTTGAAAAAGTTAAAATTAATTAAAAATAATAATTTAAATTTGCTATTATTTAAAAAAATACTACATACATTAACAAATGATTTTTTTTCACTTTTTCTCTCTGTCTGTGTGTCTGTCTGTCTGCCTATGATCGCATTACAGAAAAACCACTGGAGGGATTTTGATGAATTTTGGTATTGTGATAACTGGTTTTCCGGGTCAACATATAGGATACTTTTTACCGCGGGAAAATCTCTCATTTCTGAGAAAAAATACAAAAACTGTAATGTAAGAGTATACTAATATGTAAAACCTATGAATTTGATTTTTGGTCATCTGAACGCGGGCGGAGCCGCGGGCAATGCTAGTAATGTATATTTATATAATCTGGAGGTGGGCGTTAATGACTACGACACAGTTTTAACTAATGTAGTCATTATCGAACATAATTTTATAAATTGTAATCTTTAAAACGTGTCCAATAAAGATTTTTTTATTTGTTTTATTTTATTATCTTGTAAAGGCCTTCGTATATATTCGATACTTTCAACCTAAATAAAACAGTGTTTCAAAAAAACGTCCTATATACAGCTATGCAGAACCTACAGTCATATTCAGTTATTCACAAATCAGACAATCAGAGATGGTTCCAAGTTCCAACGCAGATCTGACGCTTCGCTTTGTTCTTCAAGGCGTAGAGATACCTATAGCATCCAAAGTTTTTATTCCCGTTTGGCAGAATCTATGTACCTACTCGTTTAGCTCCATTCAGGATAAGTTTTAGTCTTTTACTTTTAGAGCTTCGTTCTCGTAACTCGTTAGTCTATCGACTATGTTTACTTATCAATATACTAATATGACTCTTCATAGTATAGTCTCCTTTTCTCTGTTCTTAATTTTAGGTATTATGCTGAGTTCTTAAGGCTAATTTCACACTTCTGAAGATGAGAATCATTGACCTTGATAAGTTTATTTAGAAGTAGCTATGGCTGATAAAACAAAATATATCGCATGTGCGATAAGCACTACAAAATATAATTACAATAATATGCATAACACTTTAAAAGATGTAAACCTGTCGTGTCAACTGCATTCTTCGTTGTAACTCTGAAACGGAAATACTATGGCGATTAAGACGATCATATTTGTATGTCTATTTGTCAATTTAATAATGGCACTAAGTGGTGAGTTAAACCAAGATTCTTTTTAATAATAATTTGTTATACATAGATACAATGTTACATTAAGGCATCACCATTATTGGTACTGTCTATTTTGTTGGATTTGAATCTTGACTCTTTTATTGGATTGCTTTTAGTAATATATGAAAATATTTATATACTAGCTTGCTTCACCATAAATGCATTTACGCACGAGGTGTGGGTCTACTACCCACTAAAACCCAACAAAGCCTTCCCCCGTCTTAATGGGGCGTCGCAGGATCGCTTACGCATTCAACTACGACGCCCCGACGGCAGGTCTGACGAAGCAGACCGCCACAACCACGGGGTTGCTCCAAGGACCACTCTGCTATCAGAGTACCAGGAGCAACCCGCAAGCTACACCGCCCTCCGAAGAGGGCCGCCTCCCACCGCCCACCGAAGTGGGCCACCTCCCTGTGCGTTTCTTGGCTTCGCGCCCGGCTGTATTGCTGGGCACTACTGAGCCCCCTCACCACGACAAGGTGAACGCACGATGCGGGGGGAAGCTTTCTTCACCATACTAACATCATTTTAACCCCCTTAAGGGGAGATTCCGGGATAAAAAGTATACTATGTTCTTCCCAGGGTCTCAAACTATCTTCTTACCAGATTTCACCTAACTCGGTTTAGTAGATCCAGAGATTACCCTCTACAACGTCACAAACTCACAATTCACAAACTTTAACTCTTTATAATATTAGTATAGATAAAATAGCGACTCACCCTCGCTCCGCTCGGGTTCGTCCCTACTTACGTTTGAACGTTTAGTATAGATTTCTCAGAGATGCGATATTTTCTCGCAGTAAAAAGTATCCTATATGTTGACCCGGATAAAAAGCTATTAACATACCAAATTTCATCAAAATGCCTGGTCTTGTGGTCTTTTCGTGATGCGTTCACAGACGGACAGACAAAAAATCTAAAATGTATAGATTCGGCCTTTGTATCGATAATAATGACTATTTGAATAAGATTTTCCAAAAAAAATATTTAATGTACTAATTCGAATAAGAATTTTATTATATGTATAAATTTATTTAAAACATTGCTATTTATAATAATAGTACCTGGGCCGCCGAGCTTCGCTCGGAGGTTTTGGCTAAAAGTACAGTTTTCCTTAAAAAAAAAAACTAAAAACTTGAATAAATGCAAAAAAAAAAACTAAACTAAATTATACCTTTGTATCCGACTGGGATTCGAACCCGGACACCTATGATTGTCAATCTTGCGTCATTTTTTTAAAAAGAACTAAAAACTTGAATAAATATTAAACAAAAATAAAAGTAAAAACTTTTTATGCGACTGAGATTTGAACCTGGACACCTGTGATTGTTGTTCTTGCACCTTGATCGCTTGACCGCGATGCTTATACCTGACCGTACAAATTACCGACCATATTTTGCGTGGAATAATGCAAAAGAAAACTCAAAAACACGCGTTTTCTCAGACATAAGACTAATCTAGATCGACTTAAAGCCCTCGAAACCCCCTGTACACTAAATTTCATGAAAATCGTTGGAGCCGTTTCCGAGATTCAGATTATATATATACATACAAGAATTGCTCGTTTAAAGATATAATACTATGATAATACCTAGTATAGTGTTTTGAGGTAACGATCATCTTATTTTCAGAAATTTGTGGAACTAATGAAGAGTTCGATTTTTGTGGGAGTTGTGATGCCTCGTGTTCCGATCCCGATCCCGATCCCTACTGTGAAATGGTCTGTACAAGCGGCTGTTTTTGTATAGATGGTTACGTCAGAAATATCATTGATGAATGTATCGCAGAAGCAGATTGCTCTATCGAGAAATAATTTTGGGAAATTGCTTAAAATCTTATGTCCAATGCTACTACACTTTAGAGAGAAATTTACAAACTATTATTTGCTTCATTATGCTAATATGTGTTGATTTTTAATAAAAAATACAGATTCAGCTTATTAAAATTATTTTTAGTTATCTGTTAAAACCCAATGTTAAACCCAAAAATTCTTTAAAAATTATTAATGAAAGCAATATTGAGAATTATGGCAGTGGTAGCCCAGTTTTTTTTTTCTCTGGGGAAACCCATCATGGGGACCCTGCCGGCCTTCATAACGGGCAAGGTACTGTGAGACTCCTACTCACTAAAACCCACAGCGGAACCCGTCGCCGCAGTGCAATGGGGCGTTGCAGGATCGCTTACGCACACACTACAACACCCCTGCGGAGGGCCCGTACCTCGCGGGCCAACCTCGCCTAAATCAGGATGCCCTCGATTCACAGAGCATCCCGACCGCCCCGATGACGTGCAGGGGAGTCCACGAGAGACCCCCCCGCAGTAGCTCCTCTAGGGCGGCGGGAGAGGATGCGCATATCGGCGCCTCCTCCCCCCTGGCCGACGGCGACGAAGAGGGTCTGCTAAGGCGCTAGCCTCGCGTTCCCTCTCCGCCGTCTGAGACCATCGCCGACCAGGATCTCTCGTCACGTAGCATGGCTCCGACCACGCTACAAAACGAGAGGTCTCCACCCAGTGGTAGCCCAGTGGGAACACGCTCGCCAGGGAATCTTATTAACTATAAATTATAATATTCTACTTTTAAACGCAAAATGCACCTATACTTATTTCTAATAAGTATCTAATATAATATTTACTAATATTATAAAGAGGTAAAGTTTGTAAGTTTATGAGGTTGTAGGGGGTAATCTCTGGAACTACTGAACCTATTTAGATGAAATTTGGTAAGAAGATAGTTTGAGGCCCTGGGAAGGAAATAGGATTTAGGACTTGTTATTCCACAAATCATCCCTTAAGGGAGTGAAAATGGGGATGAAAATTTGTATGGCGACACAAACTAAGGAATGTACCTAAGTTTGTACGGGGAGTCGCTAGTTAAAAAATAAAAAAAAATACGTTGTGTGTATGTTTTGATAAAAATATAGTGACAATGGGTATTTATTTAAAGAAAAGAACTAAAAAGTAAACGATATCAACAGAATTTGTTTAATCTTGTTTTTGTAATGTTAGGTACATGTCGGTAATTATTTTATCTATATTTACATATAATAAGAATGAGTCGAATCTGTACATTAAATATTTTTTTGAAAATCTTATTATCGATACAGAGGCTGAATCTATAGTTTTTAGAATTTTTGTCTCTATGTCTGTCTGACTCTCTCTCTCTCACTCTTTCTGTCTGTCTAAGAACGCATCACGAGAAAACCACTCGGCATATTTTGATGAAATTTGGTACGATGATGATACGGGTCAACATATAGGATACTGTTTACTATATTATTCACGGGGAAATATCTCATATCTGAGAAATCTACACTAGTCGGTGCCAGCCGATGCAAAGCAAATCTAATATATTTCGATACGTAAAATACATATTTACCTATTAGATATTCATATCTTAAAATATTGTCGGCTGGCGCCTGGCACCGAATTCGAAAATATCTGATTAGGTATCTATTCTAAGTAAAAACCCCCGTTTAATTAGTTTTTACTTTTTAGCGCCTGGAAGTCGTTTTTTTTTAAGTTTTTATTTTTCCATTTTTAGTGTAGATGTAATAAGCAGAAGAAAGTTTTTTTTATAAAATATTTGATTAAACAATGTATTTTAAAACCCGCTCGACCGGTTTCGATAATATTTATATGGGACCACCTGGGAAATGTATATTTATTTCCTTTGAAACAAAAAAAAAATTCCAAATGGGTTCAGGCGTCTTCGAGTAATCGGTGAAGTTTCCGACGAATTGAGAACCTCCTCCTTTCTGGAAGTAGGTTAAAAAGAAAAAATGAAGTATTGGAAAAATTTAAAGTATTCAAAACTTTTGTAGAGATTGAAGTAAGTAGGAAAATAAAAGTTCTTAGAACTGACTGTAAATTTTCAGCAGTGGGATTAAATATCAAACTATAATTCCATACAACATACTCGTATAACCATCATGTCTTTGGTTGGAGAAAAAAAAATCTATTATTATAATTATTATTCGCTAGAATCGAAATGATTGTGAAGGGAATTTTTCTGCAAGGATTATATTATGATGATGAAGGTCAAATCACACCTCTAAAATACCATAATATAAAGGGATTTAAAGGTACTTTACCTCTAAAACACCATAATATAAATGAACATAATCATTCATTTGTTTATTTTATCATAATTGTTTTATGTAAGGACAAAAAAAGTATAGCACGAGTATATCCTCTGTACCCTTCACTTGAAGGTATTATTGTTACGAATTAATTACGTATAAATTTTAGAATGACGATCCTCTGTTATCCGTAATATCAAGAAACGATGGAAAAAATATCATTAATGAATATAAAATACTTATTTACACTCAAATTAAGCAATAGCTCTCTCACCATCTGCCCGGACAAGGCTCGGAGCACAATGCAGGTTTTATTGGTAAGGTAAAACCTATTCATTGTGCATTCCTCGCCTTGTCAGGGCAGATGGTGAGAAGTGTCTTATCTCCTGGTGAAGTGTTCTAAATGAGCTGTAATCATTCTAAAATGTTATTTATGCATATTAACTGAAATATTAATAAATAATAAACTGTTGTATATAATAACAATATTTATTTATATACATAAATTAAACAGAAAATTCAAAATCATACATGTAAATACACATGTAGTTTAATTAAATTGAATTAAATAATTTAGATAGATTTTGCTTACTACTAGAATTAGTATTCTTTATAATTTCCTTACAATAATGTTTATGGAAAGTCGAAGCTTGTTTCCAGATACCTTTCTGTAAAATCATATCAATTGGTACATTATTTATCCAGTTATATGAAGCTACTGCCGAACGGGTACTACCTGGGGTAGCCTCTATACCTGCAGCTTTAAAAACTGTTCTTACCCAGTTAGCAATCACTGTCCTGGATGCAGGCTTCGGCTCCCCATGAATGGTAATAAAAAGTTGTTGAAATGAGCGTCTTCTTATTTTCAAATCAATCAATAACTTTCAAATCAATAACTTTTCGAATTCAAAATAATGGACAAATCCTCTGGTCTTCATGAACATTAAGCTTCCATCCTGACTGTTGGTGTTCAGCAGTATCCGTCTTTGAACCAAATACAGGCCATAATGTCATATCAGTATAATTATCCTCCAAGTGTTGAGGGGATATGCGCAGAAGCGTAAGATCATGCACACGTCTACCTGACACAAGCAGTAATATTACTGCACATCGCCTACTTGCTTCAAAGTACGTTACTTCTTGGGGTACATTATTTTGTAGCCACGATACTACCTGTTGAGGATCCCATATAGGAACCCGAGAACTCGGAGGATTAGCCTGTGCAATAGATTTAAGTACATGTCTCACAAAAATATCTTCACTTAATTTCATGCCTAAGTGTGGCTTTACAAATAGTAGACACTGCCGATCTGTAAAGCTGTATAGTTGAAGGCTTAAATCTCTCTTTAACATGTAGGTACGTGAGAAATTTAGCAAAGTCTTTAGACTGTGGCTTAATTATTGATGTATTGTTATTGATACACCAGTTAGCCCAGCGATTCCAAGCAGATTTATAAGATATTAAAGTGGACTTACGCCATCCATTAACTAGTACTGCTTTCTCGTCCGGAGTCCAATTCTGGAGTAATGAGTCCCAGCTCCAATCAACCAAGCTTCCAGTATTAGATCATTCACCCTGGGTAAGGTGCATCTCGTCGTTACATCTACTAAAGTTTCTCTCAGGGTTTGCACTCGTACAGGCTCACTGAGAGCTCTGTTCCGCAGGTCTGGCGTCCAAAATGACTTCTTCCATTGGGGTGCCTGTGCACCTGTTCGAGTGAACTAAAATCCGTGGTATGAGTGATGGTGGAGGGAAGATCCACGCTAATTGGTAATGCTACTGCCTGCTGAAGGCGTTGTGGAACACTGCTTCTTCGTCCAGTAGATCTAGGGACACATACTGATGATTGACATGAGCTCGAGTTGACGCAAATAAGTCCACTTGAGGTATACCGAATATTTGAAATATCGGTAATGTCGCGCTTGGGAGAAGGTGCCACTCTGGAATCGGTTTGCCTCGAGTTAAACAATCCGCGATGCCGTTAAAACGGCCCGGTAGATGCTGGAATGTCACCTTTATTTGTAAATTTTGAAATAGTTCACATACCTCGCGAGTATGCTTCATTAAACGATCCGATTTCACACCACCTTCGTTTCTTAGGTATGCTAATGCAGTCAAATTGTCCGATTGTATTAATAGACTGGCGCCTTTTAAGTCCTCCGCCCGAGCTTCTATCGTTCTCTGTATGGCAACCAATTCCTTGAGATTGCCGTGCCAACCCTGTTGATTCCTTTCCCACGTGCCCGATAATAGAGTATCGTTTAGCATCGCTCCTAGGTTGGATGCATCGGTCACGAGGTGATGAGTAAGCTGTGGTAAGTGTATTAAGGAACATTTGCTTACCGCGTGTTTCCACCAGTAAATATCTGTACGTACTTCCCCTGGTAGCACATATTTCCTCCTGGGATAGGCTTTACGCAGCATACGAAGGTGTCGTTGAAAGTTTCGGCAGTGCAAGCGCCCCTGACGAATAACATAGTTTGCAAAGTTTAAACGGCCTAGTATGGTTAAGGCTTGCCTTTGAGAACACATTTTCTTCGATAGCAGCTGCTGAAGCTGTATACGAAGTTTGAGTACCTTCTGATGAGGAAGACACTTCCTGTTCCTGTCTGTATCCCAATGTATCCCTAAAAATTCTATATTTTGAGTAGGATTTACCACAGACTTCTCGTAATTCAAAATCCAACCCAATTCTTGAAGGAATTGAATTGTCTTTGATGTTTGCTGCTGAAGCAAACATCTGTTTTGATTGGCCATTAAAAAATCGTCTAGATAAACCACAATACGAATACCTGTTTCTCGAAGCTTTTGCGCCAAGAAGTTCGTTATCATTGCAAAACATCGGGGCGCACACGCTATTCCAAACGGTAGACATGTCATCTGATACATGGTTCCTCTGAAAATCAATCTTATAAATCGACGATGGCTCGGTGCCACATTTACGTGAAAATACGCTTGAGACATGTCTATCTTTGTCAGCCAATCGCCTGGCTGGAGAAAGTTGGGAATTTCGAAATGTGATATGAGGTAGAACTTTTTTACAAAAATGTAATCGTTTAATTTCTTTAAGTTGAGAATTGGACGATAAGTCTGATCTGGTTTTAATCTTAAAAACATTTGAGAAATGACGCTGGGACCTATCTTTGTAACTTCGAGAACCTGTAATTTTAACATTTCTCGTATTTCCGAAGCCTTCTGCGGAGTATCCGGAGTTTGATAAAAATTTAAATTTGGTACTATCAAAGGCGGTTTCTTTATGAAAGGTATTCGAAAATTCGATATCATTTTTAAAATTATAGTAGGTGTATTTATTGTTACTCATCGAGAAAGGAAAAGTTTTAATCAACCCGCTTGAAACCTGTTCGAGTCATTCACGACGTTTTTTACTTGTACTGCCATAACTCCGACCGGAATATGACTTTTTAGATTGTGAGCTTCGTTTTCCTCGAAATAAGCAATCTTGAAATTTGGTTGAACTTGAACCTATATTACTATTTAGTGAACGAAATGATTGTAACTGATTTTTTACTTGAGGTTTAAAAGTCGGCAGTTTAGAAGAAACTACATAATTTTTCTTAGCAGGCTGTGATTTAGCAAATACTTTTGTCGCTCCTCCTTCTTTTTCAATTAATTTATTGAATTGTTCTGGTGCAAATAAGAATTCAGACGAGGGTGGTATTTTTTTAACTTATCGACAGTAAAATTGTTATGCACCGATTTTAACAGTTCATTTCTACGGTTACCTATAATAGATGCTCGTTTTCCACATACTATCTGCATTATATCATTAGAAATTTTATTAAACTCCTTGTCATCAAAAAAATTTCTTTAATTTTATTACTAAAATCTTCATACGATACAGATTCCAAATCATGAACCCATGATATTAATTTAGTTATCAGGTCTACAAGTATGAAATGCGGATTTCTTTTTCTAAAAAAGCATGATAATTTTGAAATATTCATAAAAAGTGCTTTATTCAAAGTATGTTCCATCGCTTGTTAAACATTTTTCCCATCTTTTGGGCAATTTGTGAATACCACGCCAGTAAAAATCTTCCTCTTTTTCTGCGAGCCATTCATCGAGCCATTTTTTCACATCTTCGTACGAACCAAAGCGCTGCTCAGCAAGTGCGTGACCCATCGATGCAAACAAGTGGTAATCAGTTGGAGCCAAGTCTGGTGAGTAAGCCGCATGGGGTAGAACTTCCCAGTTGAGGGCTTCCAACGTTTCGCGAACCGGTTTTGCCGTATGTGATGGGGCACTGTCATGAAGAAAAATGACTTTGTGTTGCCTATTTCTGTATTCTGGCCTTTTTTCAAGCAGCAAACGGTTCAAATTGGTCAATGGTTGTTGATAACGTTTGGCATTAAGCGTTTCCCCGGGTTTTAACAGCTCATAATAAACCACGCCTCTCTGGTCCCACCAAACACAGAGCATCAACTTTCTGCCAAAGCGATTCGGTCTTACGGTCGATGTGGATGGTGCGCCTGGGTCCATCTATGACTTTTTACGCTTTGGATTCTCAAAATAAATCCATTTTTCATCTCCTGTAACTATGTGATGCAAAAACGACTTTCTTTTGTACCGAGCAAGCAAAATTTCACATGTGTTTTTACGCTTTTCCATTTGCCTATCAGTCAACTCATGTGGTACCCATCTACCAGTCCTCTGAATCATTCCCATCTCTCGTAGCCGATTGGAAACAGCTTGTTGACTAACGCCCAATTGATTGGCGAGTTGATTTTGTGTTTGCGAATCATCTTCGTCCAACAATGCTTGCAATTTCATATCTTCATATTTTTTGACGGCTTTCCATGTTCCTTGTCTGCAACATCGAAGTCACCACTTTTGAAACGCCGAAACCAACGTCCACACGTATCTTGCGATACAGCATGTTCACTATGACCTTCTCAAAGTAATCGGTATGATTCAGCAGCAGTTTTCTTCAAATGATAACAAAAAATGTATGCTGTCCGCAAATGCTCTTTGTTCGGTATAAATTTCGACGTATTGAAGACAACAACACAACACTTTACACACACTTTTTCAATTTATTAGTCAAGCGCATGTGACCCTTGTTTATAACACAACAAAGTGACGCAGTATCAAATCTTCATAGAACAAGCTTCATTGATGCACCGTCACTTTTCTGAAATCCGCATTTCATACTTGTACTGGTATGTATATTGTTTTGTAACATGTTCCTTTGTATTAAAATCGCATTTGATAACGCGGATAGTGTGCGTTCACACGAGGGTACTATAAAACCAGGTTTCGATATGTAATTTTTTTGTGTTTCAATAAAATTAATATTAAACCAATCATTTGAACCAAAACGTTGCAAATTCTTAATAATATTAAAATGTTCGTCATTAGTCTTTCCAATCCCTGTGTCTTTTAAAGTAGTATGCAAGGATTGAAAAACAAAATCATCATTATTTTCAAGTAAATCTGGGTCATTTGATTGACTTCTTTCGATCAAATTGGCTTCCGGATGATTAACTTCCGCTTGTACGGTTTGTTGTGCCATATTATTCATAAAATAGGTTAAAACTTGAACTTGGTTACATAACTGATTTAAAATAGACATACCCGCATCCTTCTTGCGTATCTTATTATGGCGCCAATTAGCTCGTTCGACGGAGCAATCCGTGCTTGACGTACCACTGCAATCGTACGATGATCGGGTTCTCCTTCGATTTTCTTGACTTCGTCTTCTTGGCCGTCGCCCTGAGTTGCCAGCCCTATTGGTACTCATGTCGACTATTAGATTCCGACAGAATTACCTTTAAACACGTCTTTACACCGCGAAGTTCAACAACACAATGAAAGAATATATTTAGGAGACAAGCTTGCTCCTACCTGGTGGGGAAGGTAGGTGAAACAGGAAATTGATAAAATGCAACTATATTCGTAGTACGGAAGCTCAGGATGGATAAAATAAGGTGGTTGACAGCTGCAAAAATACTTATTTACACTCAAATTCAGCAATAGCTCACTCACCATCTGCCCGGATAAGGCGAGGAATGCACAATGTCATTATTTTCCTTGTTATTATATATTTTCTTGATAATGTAGATTATTAAGATTAACTTAATATTATATTTTTTATTGTGCAATAGGCTTGTGCTTGCCTATAATCAGCGCTGCAAAGCACTGATGAGGTTTAGGTTGGAAGGCGCTTGCTTAGAAAATGCCTATTCATTCTTGCCTTGAAGGTACTTGAATTATAGGTGACAGGAAACGCGGATGCTGAAAGGGTATTGCAAACCTTAGCAGTTCGTTTCAGAAACGTAGAACTTTAGTTCTAGTCGGTGTGCTTTGCTTTGTATCGGCTGACACTGACTTCGAAAATATTTGATTGGGTATGTATAGTAAATGAAAACAACCACTCAGTTATATTTTACTTTCTAGTGCTTTTTTTGAAGTCGATTTTAACTTTTTGTTAAAAAGTTTTTATTTTTCCCTTTTTAGTGTAGACATAGTAGTAGCAAAGTATTTTAATAAAATATTCGCTTAAACCATTGAAGTTACTTTGATGCCAATTTTTAAACGAAGACTTACAAACTAAAATTCGCTTTTATTAGTAACACTAAAAATTCTGGCTCTAAAATACGATACTAGAGTGCTTGCCAAATCAAACAAAATAAGCCCAAACTCAAAGTATCTACTATTAGACGTTGAAGAGTTCCACCTATCCACCTTCTGGCCTTACCAACAATACCGAACCACTGTACTATCAACGGCAATAGAAACACTTGCAAAAATTCCAGGCCAATATGACAATTAGAAGTAGGATAAATTCATCATTAGCTTTTTTTCCACCCTTAGGGGTGGTATTTTTTTTTGAAATTTAAATGGAACCAATCTGGAAGTATATACTTTCAAACAAAACAAAAATTGACATTGAAACGGCTTTCCATGTGACCAATGAACATAAAAATATAACTAATTTAATTGTCATCGTGATTCAATGTTTAAACATAACATTAAGTCACGATGACAATTAAAATACACTGGCGTGCAAAAAAATCGGGCCACCCTTAATTTTAAGCATAATTTTTTGTTGACAATTGTTTGGTGAAAAAAATACCGCAAAGGTAATTAAGGAGATTAGACGCCTTTGTTTCGTTCAAAAAAGACATCTAGGAAAACACTTTCTAGGCCCAGATAAAATTATTGAGCCTACCCCTAAGCAAATCCTGGAGTAAATTACAGCTTTAGGGTACAGTGGTTTACTATAGTACAATCATCGATTTAAAAAGTACTGGATACACAATCCCATGCAAAAGTTCTTTTAAAACTATCACCAATTGTATTTAGGTAATTATTCTAGTTGAAATAAATATACAACAATGTAAATTGAACCTTAAATGTAATACTTGTTTATCTAGTACTTTTTTAATCGATGAGTACAACATACGATGATCATAATAGACCAGGAATGACTACAGTGATTAATTACCTTTAGCAACAACAAAGAAATAAAAAAAAAAATGTAGTGATGTGAGCTTCTTCAAATAATATAACACACTAGCGGCTCACCCTCATTTCGCCTCGGGTTCGTTCCTAGACAAAATGAAATCTATCCCGCGGGAATCGTACATCTTTCCGGGATTATATATAGCCTTCCTTACATCGCCAGACAACTATTTTAAAACCTTTTACAAGAAGACAGACCGATCCAAGCGGGTGAGACTGCGTGAGACCGATTGCGTTGCTAAGGCCATGAAAATTTATTTAGCAGATATTTGATAATTTTTAGAACTTTTGTTAACAAATAAATTATGGCAAAAAAAAAATAAAAAAATGACGTAGTAATTTAAAAAAATAAAAAATGCATTTTTTTAAAATAATAATAAAGTTAGCCGACGTTCTTATTTTTTTTATTATTTATTTTCATTTATTAACACAACATAATATATACTTCGTATCTCTCCCGAAGATGATTATGTTTACATGCAACAGCATGCCAGATTGATGCTGTCCTAATCACACTTTTAAAGCTTTATATTTTTTAAAGCTTTTACTCTTAAAATAAATAGTTTAAACTATTCCTTTTTTAAATAACCTCTTTAGCGCATCCCACTACGTCATCTTGATTCAACTGTCATTACGCGTTTTTGTGTTGCCGAGTCACAACAATTTTACATATTTTGTATAATCAACATGGGAAAAAGGAAGCGATTGGATAAGAACAATACTGATTCGGGAGGAAAGTTTTAAAGAAATTAAAAAAACTAAATAGTCTAAAAAAAGTAAAAAATCTAAATTGTCCATATATGAAGGCGTCCTTATTAAATCCGGAGATAAAATCAAATTTATCTGCATTGAATGTTAAAAAGGACTCTTCCACTAAATATAAACAGAACTAAATGGCTAGCTGTATTTCAGCAATATGGTAAGTAGCGCATCCCACGTTTATATATATATATATATATATATATATATATATATATATATATATATATATATATATATATATATATATATATACGGCTTTAACTCTGACGGCTAATGTTTACCGGGTAATCTACTCGTATAATATAAAAATGAATCGCTGAATGTGTTGCTAAGCGCAAATCTCGAGAGCATCTGAACCGATTTCGCTAATTCTTTTTTTAGAATATTCCTTGAAGTACGAGGATGGTTCTTACGGAGAGAAAAATTTAAAAAAATGTCTGAAAAAGTTTAAAAAACAACACTTTTCTACACTCCCATACAAAAGATACATAATAATACTTAAAAGTCAATTTGAATTTTAATACCATACCATACCATAAAGTTTAAGTGTTAGTGGAGAGGTTCCGGGAAGGCAAAACAATTGAGTGACGTTAGTATCGTATCATATTAATGTCAATATTTATACGACGGTGACATTACTCAAAAACAAATCTATACAGATAAATTAAATTGAAGTGTCTGTTTGAAATATCAAAATAACAGCTTTTTACAAAATACATTTGGATGTATAAAACAACATTTTTTACATTTTTTGTCTGGTTGTCTGTCTCTCTGTTTGTTCCGGCTAATCTTTGAAATGGCTAAGCCGATTTTGACACGACTTTCACTGGCAGATAGCTGATGTAATAAGGAGTAAGTTAGGCTACTTTTATTTTAGTATTTGTCTCATAGGGACATAGTGGAGACGAATTACAGGCTTTTGCTTGGCTTGATACGTTTTTAATCATTTATAATATACATACAGGCAAATTGGAATCGAAAGTTTTACAAAGTTGCTTCTAATAGCTTTGACGGTTAGGTAAAAATCAACGATGATAAGTAGTGGCACACATATATTTGTTCATTCCACAGACAATACAAACATTGTCTGTGGTTAATGAGCATGAATAGTTAAAATAGCAATAGCACTTTTATAACTTATTGCCAGCTTTATGTTGAACCTTAACAGTATTCTAAGATATTAGTGTGCTTCAAATTTGAGTCTGAAAATGTGTTATGAATGTACTCGTAAGTAAAAATAGAATTAAAAATCGAGAAAACAAGCAAAAAAAGCCAACGTCACGCGGTGTTCCCAGGCGGTCACCCATCCAAGTACTAACCGCGCCCGATGTTGCTTAACATCGGTGATCGGACGAGAACCGGTGTATTCAACGTGGTATGGACGTTGGAGACTACTGTTTAAAAAGTTCTTCAGAATATTCGAAGAATACTATTTTTAGCTATTTGAATAAAAAAAAAATTATATTTATGATCCCTGAATGGTTATCTTTCTTTATTTTTTTATTATTGGAAAATACAATACTGTGTGCCTAAATCCTAATACGAGTTTTTTTACTTACTCGATCGCAAGAAATTAAATAGAATTGAAAGTACGCCATCTAGTGATAGAAAGAGACCTCATTTTATCTCTTGCAGCATTTTTTATCAACTGAGCCAAACGTGTCGTTCAAATCCCGGGTCTCGCACCTCTGATACTTTCCATGTGCCAATGATTACCAACATGAAAACAATTTTCCGGAAAATATCCTGAGAAAACCTGTATCTCTGAGAGAACCTGGCAAGTTTTCGAAAGACATGTGAAATCTGTCAACCCGCACTTGGCCAACCTAGTGGACTTTGCCCTAATACTGTATGGTGCTGTGTGCAGTGACCAATGAGAGGCTGACCAGGAGCAGTATCGATGGTTCAACGACCTCTCAGCTTAGAACTTGTCTCGATGGGATTCGAACCCCGGACCACCGAATCTATAGTCGTAAGTATATGTTAACATCTTAGTAGTTAGTTTGCGTACTTACTTATAAAAATACAACTCAAAATGCATGTTTAGCATTGTAAAGTGATAAACGGAAATATTATTTTACAAAAATTACATTTTTTATCAAAAAAGTATGAAGGTATACGTTGAAAAAGGAAAACACAACTCTATTATCTTGTAAAGGCCTTCGTATATTCGATACTTTTAACCTAAAAAAACAGTGTTTAAAAAAAACGTCCTATATACAGCTATACAGACAGCAGAACATACAGTCATATTCAGTTATTCACAAATCAGACACCAGAGATGGTTCCAACGCAGATCTGACGTGTCACTTTGTTCTTCAAGGCGTCGAGATATTCGCTAGGTGCGTGACTCCAGCGCCACCTATTACTACAACTTACGGTGACTCTTTTGAGATATTTTATAAGTATTAGAAAAAAAAGAATTATTTAAAAAAATACCATGTAAAATGTGTCATATTACATAGAGTGTACATTAAATTAAAAAATCCCTGGGTCAGCTGACGAAAGTAAGTA